CCCAGTAACATCAAGATCAGGCGAACGCGGTGTTGGATTCCTATCTGTGCCTATGAACCACCGATCGCGACAAAACTCAGTCGACTCTGACGACATGTCTCGATCCGTTTCTTCCCAAGGCGATACTACTGTTGTGGCGTCCAACTCGACACAGACAGATACGCTGAAAGGCTCCGAGTACGACCACAAGAAGATTACCAACGATGAGAGCGCTTTGAAACCAGATACAGGCACAGAGCAAGATTTCGAGGTGGAAAACAACCCCTTTGCCTTTACACCTGGCCAGATGAACAAAATGTTCAACCCCAAGAGTCTTTCGGCTTTTTATATGTTAGGTGGCATTGATGGTATCGAGAAGGGTTTAAGATCTGATCGAAAGGCCGGATTGAGTATGGATGAGAAGAGCCTGACCGGCAAGATTTCATTTGAGGATGCAACATCTAAGAAGCAGATGCCCCGCGAAGATCATGCTGCAGCGCAAACAGGCGATAGTTTTGCCGACCGATTACGTGTTTTCAAGGACAACAGGTTACCGGAGAAGAAAGGCAAGAGCCTTTTGGAGCTTATGTGGATTACTTATAACGACAAGGTTTTGATTCTGCTATCAATCGCTGCGGTAGTCAGTCTCGCAGTTGGCCTGTATCAAAGCTTTGGCCAAAAGCATGAGGAGGGCGAGCCCAAGGTTGAGTGGGTCGAAGGCGTTGCGATTATTGTCGCCATCGCCATCGTCGTCATTGTCGGTTCTTTGAACGATTACCAAAAGGAACGCCAATTCACGAAACTGAACAAAAAGAAACAGGACCGTCTGGTCAAGGTGATTCGATCAGGAAAGACAATAGAACTCTCTGTCTTTGACATCTTGGCCGGTGATGTCATTCACATTGAGCCGGGTGACTTGGTACCGGTCGACGGAGTTCTGATCGAGGGCTTCAATGTCAAATGTGACGAATCTCAGGCCACTGGCGAATCAGACATTATTCGAAAACAGGCTTCTGAGGTTGTCTATAACGCCATCGAGAACCATGACGACCTTAAGAAGATGGATCCTTTCATCCAGTCTGGCGCTCGCATCATGGAAGGTGTTGGCACTTATATGGCTACCTCAGTTGGTGTTTACTCTTCATACGGCAAAACTCTCATGTCATTGAACGAGGATCCTGAGATGACTCCCCTACAGGCGAAGCTGAATGTTATCGCTACCTACATCGCTAAGCTCGGTAGTGCTGCTGGTCTTGCGCTCTTCATTGCTCTGTTGATCAAGTTCCTGGCTGGGCTACCGGCTTCTGATGATACACCCGCTGAAAAAGGACAGCAATTCCTCAACATCTTCATTGTTGTCGTTACTATTATTGTGGTTGCTGTCCCCGAAGGATTACCCCTTGCTGTTACCCTGGCCTTGGCTTTTGCGACAACCCGAATGCTTCGGGATGCCAACCTTGTGCGACACCTCAAGGCATGTGAAGTCATGGGAAATGCCTCTACCATTTGCTCTGACAAGACCGGCACTTTGACCCAAAACAAGATGCAGGTTGTGTCAGGAACTATTGGAACAAGTCTCCGTTTTGGTGGCTCATCCTCTGGAGATGCCAGCGGTGCCTCTACCCCAGTGGACACTAGTGGTGATATTGGTATTTCCGAGTTTGCCAAGATGCTCAGCAAACCTGTGAAGGACCTTCTCCTCAAGTCTATTGCACTCAACTCTACCGCTTTCGAAGGCGAGGTAGACGGAGAAAAGACCTTCATTGGTTCCAAGACTGAGACTGCCCTACTCATTCTCGCCAAGTCTCATCTTGGCATGGGTCCCGTGAGTGAGGAGCGTGAGAACGCCAAGGTTTTGCAGCTCATTCCTTTCGACTCTGCCCGCAAGTGCATGGGTATCGTTACTCAGGGCCCCAACGGTAGTGCACGTCTCTACATCAAGGGCGCCTCCGAAATCATCCTCTCCAAGTGTACTCAAGTACTTGGTGACCCAGCCAACGACGACTCCCTTGCTCCTATGTCCGATGATAATGTCAGCACTGTTCAGCAGCTCATCGAGAGCTATGCGAGAAGGTCACTCCGAACCATCGGCATTTGTTACAAGGACTTCCCCTCATGGCCACCCAAGAGTGCCGGCCGTGTCGATGGCGGTAACGAAGTTGTCTTTGATGATCTTTTCTCGGACATGGCTTTTATTGGCGTCGTCGGTATCCAAGATCCTCTTCGGGAAGGTGTCCCAGAAGCTGTCAAGCTCTGCCAGCAGGCTGGTGTTGTCGTTCGCATGGTTACCGGTGACAACAAAATCACCGCTGAGGCCATTGCAAAGGAGTGCGGCATCATTCAGCCTAACTCTATTGTTATGGAGGGACCTGAATTCCGCAACCTTTCTAAGCTGGAGCAAGAGGAGATCATTCCCCGCCTGCATGTTTTGGCACGATCATCCCCCGAAGACAAGCGTATCCTGGTGAAGAGACTCAAGGACAAGAACGAGACAGTTGCTGTTACTGGTGACGGTACCAATGACGCCCCTGCTCTCAAGATGGCCGATGTCGGCTTCTCCATGGGTATCTCTGGTACTGAGGTCGCCAAGGAGGCTTCAGCCATTATTTTGATGGATGATAACTTCACCAGCATTGTCAAAGCTCTGAAATGGGGGCGTGCAGTCAATGATGCAGTCAAGCGATTCCTTCAATTCCAGCTCACCGTCAACATCACTGCGGTTATCCTCACATTTGTTACAGCTGTCTCTAATAACGAAGAGTCATCTGTGCTGACCGCCGTGCAACTGCTCTGGGTCAACCTCATCATGGATACACTTGCTGCCCTCGCCCTCGCCACCGATCCTCCCCACGACAGTGTTCTGGACCGAAAGCCCGAGCCCAAGGGATCCAGTATTATATCTGTCACTATGTGGAAGATGATCCTCGGTCAATCTATCTACCAACTCGTCATTACCTTCGTCCTCTACTACCAGGGCCCAATTGTGCCAATAGAGCCGAAACCGAGCGCCGAGGAAATCAAGACACTGGTCTTCAATACGTTTGTCTGGATGCAGATTTTCAACCAATGGAAGTAAGTGCCGCCTCTTGTAATGCAAATTGGATTTTTCCTAACGTATACAGTAACCGTCGTCTGGATAACAAGTTCAACATTTTCGAAGGCCTTACCAAGAACTGGTTCTTTATTGGTATCAGCGCTATCATGTGTGGTGGTCAGATCCTGATCATTTTCGTTGGCGGCGAAGCTTTCCAGATTGCTAAGAAGAAGCAGAGTGGCGAGCTCTGGGCCATGGCCATCGTTCTTGGCTTCCTCTCTATTCCTGTCGGCGTCATCATTCGCCTTATCCCTGACCATTTCCTTGAGGCTTTGATTCCCGAGTTCCTTAAGCAGCGTGCGAAGAATGTACCTGGTCTTACGGTATCCGACGAGGAGATGAGCATGTACCCCGAGCCATTGGCGGATGTCCGCGACGAGCTCAACTTCCTTCGGCGCATGAAGGGTGGACGGTTGAACAACCTCAAGTTTGCAATCCAGCACCCTAAGGAGGCGGTTGAGATGGTCAGGTCTAGAAGCCCTTCTCATTCTCGATCCAACTCTCTCAACGCACCGCAAACGCCAATCCAGGAGAATCCGTTTGAAGGGTCGCCGATTGGGACACCCAACTCAGGCAGGAGGCCTAGATCCACGAGGTCACGGTCTAATTCTGCACTGGGAGCTCCTACGGTGATGGCAGGTATCGTGGCAGCAGGTGTAGCGGCGGGCTGGCAACCAAAGATGCGGCCAGACAATGACGGAGATCACAGTGACTCACCAAGGTAGTTGCTGTAGTGCGGATTGACTTGACATTGAGTGCGTGCGAGGTATTTTTTATTCTAGTATTGCTTTGGGTACCGATAGAACTGGTTAGCATGGAATCGACACGAGAAGAGTTTGAGCGATTGAACAACAATAAAAGGTCTCTGCAAAAATAAAATGACAGCTAGATTGAGCGAGTGAATGGAAAGAAAGCCAAGGTATCATAATATAACTAAGATTTACTAGACGGCAGGATCTACCAAAATGTGGCGGGAACTAATATGGTGGATGATTCAGTAGGTGGTCATAGATTCAAGACTAATTAACAAGAAGAATTGCCTCTGCTCCAAGCTGACAGGATTGTAATATGTATGTATTATGAGTACTCGGAAGACAAAGATATAATAGGATTGTACCAAGGACGCCAACACTCAGTAGCAAAGCCTATGTTTATTCAGATACAGTGCTGTTTGTACGGCATCAACAAAAGGCGCCTAGTCAAGTTGAAGGTTCAGTTGGTGGGTGGTTGATAGGCAATATTGTAGCCGGCCAATCAGCGAGAATGGTGACAACCTGGCATGCCATGTCATGCATGATGAACAGCCAGACAGTTCCGATACGTATACGATAAAAGAGAGGAGATGATTTGACTTGAGTAGAGCAGTCTGACATAAGATCCAGGGCAGGATAGAAATATCTTGGTATAAAAACGTTTCAGTAGAGAAAGCAAGTTGTCACTCTAGTATAAGGCCGTACTACATTGGCAGCTAGCAAGCGGTCTGGAGGAGGAGAGGAACTTGAAGAAGTTAAGCCAGCCACAGGAAAAAGTCAAAATGCGAAGGGGATACGTTAAGCTGGATGAATACTTGGCAGTGGTTTTTGCCCAGATACTCTCTGCCACATGATGCGACATGTGTGTGAGAGAGGAGAAGGGGAGATGGCGGGGGAACAGAAGAGACGAGGGGGGGGGGAGTTTAAAAGATGACCTTAGAATAGACGAGAAATACTGAGCAGAGTTCCTAATAGACCGCCAGTTGCTCAGGGTGTTTCTCGAGTTGCTTGTCAGTCAATGCCTATGGTGTGCAGGCTTGGTGTCTCGAGTACCCAACCCAAGTCGATTTATCACTTCTCCCCTCTGCTGCTGTTTGTACTGTAATTAATCACGTACCCCTGCACTCCAGTGCTCGCCATCATTACATTCCAACCACCGTATCTGAGAGTCTTTTTCTCTCTCTTCCTCTTTTTCCTCAACTTTTGTTCTTCTTCTTTCCTATCTATCTATCTATCTGCAACCTGTTTCTTTTGTCGCATTCTCTCTGAGAATCAGCTTCCACCTCGGGGTCCTTGTCCCTTAACCAAGCTTTGTTGGATAGACGAGAAAGGCAATAAAGTGAGAAAGGAAAGGCGATATTACATCGAATCAGATTACTCATACGTATTTGATCTGGCTTGATCACGATATCGTGCCTCGATACCTTTCTACTAAGAATAAGGCAGAGACTTGTCAAAGATTCTCTCACTTTCTTTCCTTATCTATCTTGCCTTTCCTCACTTTTAGTTACCTTGTTCAACTAGAACAGACTCATCCTCATACATTGTCACTCATCTTCCTTTCCTCCCATTGCACGGAACTCGCACAACCAAACGAAACCCACTTTCGGCAGATCAGCTTCTTCACTATCGCTCTCACTCAAGCTGAAACGATTCTCTCTTCACTACCACCCCCTCGACAACTCAACCATAAAATTCCCATTCTCAGTCAAGCTTTTGACTCTAGGCTTCTCGTACAGAATTCTGCGCATTTTCTCATCGAGTCTAACAAGGCACTAGGCCAGGTATCCTTTTTTTTTTTTTGCCCACAAGGTACCTGCAGTTGCCTTACTTTTGGTAGTATCCAGAAGCCAAGCCAAGCCAACCAGACCGTCTGCGTGGTTCGGTTCTCGATCTGGGGTTAATAATAGATGCCACCCTCGTCTTCCTGACCCGCTTTCTTCCTTTCCCTTCCCTTTTACCTTTACATTTGCATTTACAACACATTTCCATAGGAGATCAAACCAGCCTCTGACCTTTCACCACTGTCAAACGTTGGCAAACCCTAATATTCCCTTCTCCTCACTTCACTTCGTTTCTCTTCTCTTTCCCTCTACAGAGTCTCATATTCTCTACCATGTACACGAAAAAAGGCAACGGGAGAACTGTTGCTCTCTCCAAGCGAAAGGCTCAACCAAATGCTCTCGACAAGTTGGGTGATAACCCAACAGAAGACGAGATCAAGACTGCAGAGGCCAACGTTGCACTCGCTGAACTTGAGGAGAGGGTTGCCGATGTTAGAGAATCGTGGGAGACGGACTCTTTGTTTGAAGATGCTTTCGATGAGTTGAACGCAGATAATACGGTGGCCATTAATGGTGAGTTTGTCTAGTCATGCCCTATCCTATCCTGAGATCGCCCGAATCTATGCACTCTACTCCAAGATTGCTAACCATATTCTCCGAAAAAAAAAAGACCCCAAAGTGTGCACACCTGAAGAAGCTAGCAGACTTCGTCGGGAGCTCCGAGAATATGGTCCAACAGTCTTTTGTCAACGCACCGTTGATGCTGGTCACTATACCGCCAGAAAGCTCCTCAGCGCCTTTGGCATCCGTCCTCCGCCCTTCCTGGAGGGTCAGCCTGATGATGCGTATTTCAGTTTATTGTCGCTCGCTATTACGCGTGAACTGTCAAAACGCGCCAAGCTTCTGCGTCACAACACGGTTGATGATGCCGTTGACCTGATCACTAAGAGCAATAACATCATTCTCATCACTGGTGCTGGTATCTCTACATCGCTGGGCATTCCCGATTTCCGTTCCAAGGGAACTGGTCTGTACTCCAAGTTGGAGCACCTTGGTCTTAGTGACCCCCAAGAGGTTTTCGACATTGGTGTCTTCCGACAAGATCCCACCATTTTCTACTCAGTGGCCAAAGACATTTTGCCGAGCACGGACCGATATACACCCACTCACAAGTTCATTGCCATGCTCCATGAGAAGGGCAAGCTCTTGACCAACTACTCTCAGAACATCGACAACCTCGAAGTCAAGGCCGGTGTTCCCAAGGACAAGCTCATCCAATGCCACGGCTCCTTCGGAACCGCCACATGTGTTCAGTGCGGTTATAAATGCCCGGGAGAGGCCATCTTCCCCGAGATCAAGGCTGACAAGATCCCTCGATGCCCACGCTGCGTCCAGACTCTGCGCACTACTGGCGGTGCGCCTAAGCGTAAGCGGTCTGCAGGCACAGAGAAGAAGCGAAGACGGTGGAGCGCCGATAGTTCCGACGAGTCCGAGTATGACATCCCCAGTGCTGGTGTCATGAAGCCCGATATCACCTTCTTCGGCGAGGCTCTTCCCGATGAGTTCTCTCGACGACTCACCGAGCACGATCGCGACAAGGTAGATCTCGTCATCGTTATCGGCACTTCTCTCAAGGTTACGCCTGTATCTGAGATCGTGTCCTGGCTCCCCGCCCATATTCCTCAGATCTACGTATCTCGCCAGGCCGTTAATCACATCAATTTTGACATCGATCTCCTAGGCGATTGCGATGTTGTTGTCTCTGAACTATGTCGCCGTCTGCGCTGGCCAATGGTGCATGACATGGTTCCCAAGAATCAAAAGGTCGAAGTCCGTACTGAGCCTGGCTATAAGAGCCGCCACGTTTTTGAGGAGCAGAAGACCAAGAAGTGAGAGCCACTGATCGAAATGTTTCTCTCATAATTTCGATGGAGGATGTGAAGACACTGCATTTGTGCGTTTTTATAAGATTTTACATTCTGTGCTGCAAGCGGATGGCATGGCGTCTCGAGGATCGGATACAATGCCAACAAAAAATGGATGGACATGGACGGAGTAAGGGTGTTTACGGGACTGACCGTCTCTTGTCTTCATTTTTTTTTTTTAAATTTTTTTTTTACATGTCAGAGTTTGACTGTTTTTCAACCAATTTCCCTCCTTACTTAGACATGCGTTTCTCATCCCTGCGCCTGTCTCGATCCCTTTTCTGACGACATTTACGTATCAAAGACAAACTCGCGGGCTTCGATATCTTGGAGCAGGACTAATTTACTGACACCCCAAACGAGATTTTGGGGTGAGGAAAAGCGTTTGGTGGGGATGGTAGATCGAGTGAGAGACAGTGGCGGAGAAGATACAGGGCAAAGTCGCTATGTGTTAGAAAGCACGTATATACATCGTAATACAGAAATTGAAGATTCACGAACAAACTGCTATTCGGATGGTCTACCTGTACCTTAAATCCAAAAGGTCCATTTGGCAACATCGATTCCCTTGGTGCTACAACTATGTGATCAGGAGCGACATTTCGCACCAGGCAACTGACTACCTATGTTCCGAAGCTCAACATCTTTGCTTACTAGGAGCATCGCAAATGAGTCCAGACGGGCTCTCAGCATTTCTTCACGACACAGAAGTTTAGTCAAACAGATGTGTTTTTAATCACTTCTAAGAATCATCATAATAACTCGCCTATAGTAATAGTATGTGCTGTTTCTATCCCAATAGTAGTCTTGCCATGTCACTGAGTGACCTTGCGGCTGTGGCTATCCCCATGCCACACTAGTCAATCATCCGTGATTGTACTACAAAGCCAAATCTATATCCAGCCGTTTACTAAATGCTGTCTTACAAATGCTGTCATAGATTTCAAGCCTAAATCAGACTCTCATATTTATCCAATCCCGACTTTTGCCCCGTGTTGTTCTGCGTTGTGTTCTGCGTTGCGTTACTCATCGAACTCATGCCACTCCAGTTTGTTGGCGGTGGGGGCATTGTGAACGAAGACGGCGTAGTAGATGTGCTGCCTGGTGGTGGTGGAAGTGTAAACGACGGTTGCCGTGATGTTGAGTTGAGAGACATGCTTGCCATCGAGGAGCCCATGTTGCCGGTAGACGCACTAGTACCGAACCCAGAGGAGCTTCCCCATGGGCTTGGTGTAGCCTTGGCAGCAGCAGACCAGTTGATAGATGACCCGGATGTCGAAGCAGTCAAAGGCTGCGGTGGAGCCAGCGGTTGTTGTTGAAGTTGAGTTGGAGGTTGGAAGGGTTGGCTCGGTGTGGGCTGTAGTGGTTGACTGAACTGAGTAGATGACGGTGTGAGAGCCTCGAAACGGCCGAGATCCGGTGTTACGGTTCTGAAAGACGGAGCCTTTTGAGCTGGAGGTTTTAATGCAGGGTTATTCGTAGGTGGAGGAGGTGTCGACCATGAGAATGTAGGCGCGGGCGTACTCGATTTCGACTTGGCTGGGTCATCCCAACTGGGGGTTGCTGTGCTCGACCTAGGACTACCCATGCGTCCCTTGACGAGATTCTCGAAATCGTCTTCTGTAGCTCCATTGTTCTGGTCAAAGGTTGTACCGGTAACACCACCAAACGCCATAAAATCTTCGCTAGGAGCAGCAGCGCCGTTGGAAGGGCCGCCAAGTTCTTGAAGTTTTCTTGTCTGCTCATCCTCAACTCTTCGAGACAAACTCTTGATAAGCTCCATGAAACCCTGGAACTGCTTCAAGTTGAGCAGTGGACCTAAACTCATGCTCCAGAGAATGGGCAGGATTTCCATCGCTACAAATTCAGCATCAGCTACTGAGCCCACGACCCGTAGTACGTTCAGGGCTGCCATCATAACGGCGGGTTCCTTCGTCTTGATCACTCTGATGAGTGGGACAATCTTTTCCTGCATAGTGTATTTGTCCAAGGCACTTGAAGACGACGTCTTCTTGTTTTCCAAGCCATTGAGCCCGTCGTCTTCGCCGTTGTCGTTTGTTCCGCCACAAAGTATTACAAAGGCTCGCAGTCCGCGGACTTTAATAGCAAGACTGTTCGTCTTACTGAAAACAGCGGCAATGACCGGGAACAGTTCATTTTTTATCGTGCTAAAATCGAGCACCGGTAGCACGACAGGCAGACTGCGAAGAGCAGCATCAACAATCGAGTGTGTTGGGCACTCAATTGCTGCCATTATGACCGGGAGCATGTCTGAGGAAATTAGCACCATGTCGATCAGCTCTTCTGATTAAACTTACCGTCTTTGAATTCCTTCCCGGAGCAGTTGCTGGAAATGGATGAGATATGCTCAAGAACAACCATAAGACCAGCGTCCCTGGCTGGATCTTTCTCTTGTGTCTGCTTGGCGTTGACCACAAAGATTTCTCTCAATGCTGGACGGACCTTCTCACTGAACGCCCTCTTGGCAGATGGTAGAAGATCGAGGATCTTGAAGACGTTTTGCAAAATGAGTGAAAGAAGATCCCGATCTTTGAGCTCCTCTATCAATGCCGGTAGAATCTTCTTCTCCATCACAGACTTGGGGAACGAGGGCAACACCTTGTTAAGCCCCCGCATAAAAGAAGCCTTTTCATTTGCAGTCTTGGCGGGGAATGAATCAAGGAATCGAATCGTCGACACAAGAATGTTATCGAAATACTCGCTCTGCTGAAACTCGCGCGCCGTCATTCGCTGAGCAGGCCGTCTTGTGATGAGTCGAGGCAGAACATCATGCGAAAGTTCTCTAGGAAGGGGCCGTGATGAAAGATAGTTATTACTGGCAGATGGAACGCTGGAAGATGAAGAAAATAGTCGCTTGTATGTAGACAAACTGCCGTGGCATTCTAGAGGAGACCTGTGGGGTGAGTTGTATAGGGCGACTGACATGAGTCCAAGGGAGAACATGTCTGCAGAAGAGTTGAGGTTGTTATCGACGACAAAGTCGGGTGAAGAATAATCGAGGTTGAGCTGCACTGTCTTTGGTAGTCGGGGGTCCATATTGAGGACTTCATACAAGTTAATTCCTTGGATAGATGTTGGCTTGTCAGACCCCTCAGGGGGGCTAGCAAATGCTAGTCCACTAATCTTCCAATCGGACTGTGATATGTTAGTCGAGTTCTCATGATTGGCTTTGGAGGGCATGCCTTTGCGTTGATGAGAACTGCGTCTGGAGTAAGGTTGCCATGGACGATACCAGCATTCTCATGTAAGAACTCGAGAGCTTTGCTGACTTGGAGCAGTCCCTTTTGAATCTCCAACTCATCAATCTCGAGCTCTCTTCGTCTCTTTGTCCCATCTGCATCCTCTGTCACGTATCGACTCGATCTTCCACCGGGGCCTCCAGCTCGTTCCTGTTCGTCTTTCTCCTGCAGTAGACTGGACAGCGAAGCTGTAACAGACTCTGTCACGAACTGTAAACCTCCGCCTCTTGTCTCCTCCACCGGCTCCACTAACTCGAGAATGTTGGGATGCCTGAGCTTCGCAAGACTCGACGCTTCCTTCTTTAATCGCTCGACAACTTCCTCAACCGTCTTCTTGAACGAGGCCGCACCAGAGCGGCCCAACGAGCTGCCATGACTGTCTAATGATTTCCGGTCAAAGACAAAGACACTGTATGGCTTGCCGGTAGACTTCTTCTTCGCATCGAATATCTTCCAAGGACCAGCCGTCGAAGTCGGTGCTGAAGAGATGGAGTAGTTGCCTGTGATGTTGGTGGCAGAGATGGACTTAAAGGCCGAGGAGAACATGGTGACAGCTCTCCATGGATCGCAAACGTTAGGTCGAACTTAAAAGGGGTCGCAGGTGCTGCGCTTAGCCGCCGCTGTTGTTGGAGGCTCACAATGCGAGATTCGTTGGTGACGATGAATAATACAAGGGTTGACGATCGCTTCGCTTAGGCCACAATAGGATTGGGAATGGAAATGACGTTGGTCGCGATGCGCATTCTCCATGTGTAGGGGTAGCCTCGCGTTGACAAATAACCTACGTATCCTTACCACCAGGGAGCCAAGCCTAGCTTCCCCACGATAAGCTGATAACGCCTGGGCAGCTCCAGCTGCTGAATGTCAGATCAGTCCCCCCCATTGAACCCCTGTATCACTAACCTGATAGGGCGTCGAGAGCTGCGTTCACGGAACTTTCAGTGACTTTTCCAGGCGACTCATCTACGGCCCAATGCGGTTGTGAACGCCTGGAGGCGGCTGTCCCTGTAGAGTACCTCGGGCTCACTTTGCAGCGAGCCTATTGAGTCGGTCAATTTGCAATCGATTTCTATCATCAACCTCCGATACAACTCCGACCATAGACAATTGCCCCTAGTACTTAAGTTAATATCCCACCTAGTCTCGACACCGAAGGTTATTGCTCCCCATCTTTAAAACTTTACCTTTTTGTTCTTCAGTTTGCGTTGAATATATAATTTCGCCAATTCAACTTTTTATCGCCAATTGACTTCACAAACGCATCAATGATGAGACCGTTGCTTGTCCGCTCCGCTTTACGGAGCGCTCGCATGTCGAGCCTGAGACCGCTATGCCATGCGCAACGGTTCAGCATCAAGGCTGAGGCTGCCTCTACCATCAAGCCTCTGGGCTTGGATGCTTCAAAACTCAGCATCGAGAAGACGGGGAAGCCCAAGGGCCTGAGCAAGCCCGAGGATCTCGTCTTTGGAAGGGAATTCACAGGTAAACGAACCCCCCACCAAATACGCCCTGCACAAAAGCTAAAACTTTGCCAGACCACATGCTTGCGATCGAATGGAATCAAGACGAAGGATGGTTGGAGCCCAAGATCACACCCTACCAGAACCTCTCACTCGACCCCGCGACATGTGTCTTTCACTATGCCTTCGAGTGTTTTGAGGGTATGAAGGCGTACAAGGACAAGGACGGCAAAGTGCGACTCTTCCGACCTGACAAGAACATGGCGCGACTCAACAAGTCTGCCGCCCGTATTGCGCTCCCGACCTTTGAGCCCCAGGCCCTCACCGAGCTCATCTCCAAGCTCGCTCAGCTCGACTCCCGCTTTATCCCTGATAAGCGGGGATACTCCCTCTACCTCCGTCCCACCATGATCGGAACTCAAAAGACACTCGGTGTCGGACCTCCCGGGTCTGCTCTTCTCTACGTCATTGCCTCGCCCGTCGGTCCTTACTATCCTACTGGCTTCAAGGCTGTCTCGCTCGAGGCCACTGACTACGCTGTTCGTGCCTGGCCCGGTGGTGTTGGTGACAAGAAGCTGGGCGCCAACTATGCGCCCTGTATCGTTCCCCAGCTCCAGGCCGCCAGCCGTGGCTTCCAGCAGAACCTCTGGCTGTTTGGTGAGGAGGAGTACGTTACTGAGGTCGGCACAATGAACATGTTTGTTGCTCTCAAGAACAAGGAGACTGGCCAGAAGGAGCTTGTGACAGCTCCCCTTGACGGAACTATCCTCGAGGGAGTCACTCGTGACTCTGTGCTCGCTCTCGCTCGGGAGCGTCTTGAACCTGAGGGCTGGAAGATCAGTGAGCGCAAGTACACGATGAAGGAGCTTGCTGAGGCCGCTGATGAGGGTCGTCTTCTCGAGGCCTTTGGTGCTGGAACTGCAGCTATTGTCAGCCCTGTCCGTTCCATCTCATGGAAGGGTAAGCTCGTTGACTGCGGTCTTTCTGAGCTCGAAGAGTCTGGCGAGATCGCTCTCAAGATGAAGGAATGGATCGAGGCCATTCAGTATGGTGACGAGGAGCATGAATGGAGCTACACTATTTAGAGTGGTTGTGTATATGGCGTTATATAGCGGCTGGGAATAGATAGATCGGAATCAAAATAATTACGCTCACGCTCAGGTTTACGAGAACATCATCTGCTTTGCCACAATTGCTTGTTAAGGCTCACAATCAGCGATACTAGCAAAGGTCAGAGGTTATGTCACAGTCCCGATTAGACAGACAGTAATACCTCAAGACCAAAACCTCTAGCAATACCATTCTTCAAATGCAAAATAACATGTACAATTGACCGGATTTCCCCCTGTCAGTATGTCGTAACCTCCGCTTAGTTCTTCTTGTCCTGCTTGGATGGGTCGGGCAGGATTCCCTCCTCCTCTAACCTCCTTCGTGCTTCCTCAAGGGCCCAGGTAGAGACACTGTATAGCCGTTAGTAGACGTCCCGCATCAGTTCTCGGCCAGAATTTCGCTATTGGCAAGACTGAATCCGTCCAATGCGATGTGTATCCTCCGAGTGCAAATCACTCACGTAGTATCGGGCTTGAAGGCGAGCGCAACGGCGGTGGCGGCAAGGCTGCCGAGAAGAATATAGGTAGGCCACTCCCAGCCCTCGGGCTCGGGCTTCTCACCAGGCTTGACACCCCAGAGCCAGCCGGTAGGAGGATCGAATTGGTGCTCGCCGCCGCCTCCTTGTCGTCGGGCGGACACGGAGAAACCTCTGGAGGAGAGGGGTTGTCGAATGCAGCGTGCGGCGCGCAGGGGCGCGACAGCAGCGCGGATAAATGTCATGTTTTACCGTATCGTCGAGATCTCGAGGGGGATTCGATTCGGCGATGAGATGGCGTGGGGGAGGTCAATGGCTGAGTGACGTTGTTGGGCGTGATGCTGGTTGTTTGATCTGAACGAATGCGTACCTAGGGAATTGCTGAACTTCGATTTGATAGGTTCACGTGACCCGGTAGTCATAGCACCCCTGTTGGGCTAGTCACTTTGTGTATCCTTACCCAATCCCATTCAAGCGGATAGAAGGAGGAATGAGATATTGATATTGAGCATAATCAATTATTATTGTTTATAAGTCGAGTTTGGCTGTATCACTGGTGCACAGTTGGTTTGAGGTTGTCTTTGTCTGAGGGTTTGAGTTCCGCAGGTGCTGCAGTACCAGAACATTGGCCCTACCTAAAACCTCAACTCAATTGAACTACATGATGCAATCATTCATGACAATCTCAACTCGATGAAGCAGTGGCTGATAATACATCTTTCGCAATCTCTGCTTATACTTCAAAAATGCTCCTTTCACTAAAACCCCTGCTTCTCAAGTCGACCCCAGTCTTGGCAATAGTGATGCACGGCCTTGTCGATGCCCAAAAAACATGATCTACTCGAGACCCAATAGTTGGATCCTGCATCATTCTTTGGGATTCTGCGGTTCCCCTTTTGGACTCATCTCATCTAGAGTCGGTCTTTTTTTTTTTTTTTTTTTGCATTTCTCTTGCAAGCGTATTCATTCTAAAGCAATACTTTCTACTTTCCTATAAGTGAGTTTGCGAAGAGCAGTAATTGATGACGAAATAGTCCTTTGAAGAATACCGCAACGAACATACAGTACAACCACGAAATTTGCTTATGGTCTCAGCTCATTGGCTTCGATTACCGTTAATTCTCCAGTATATAATTCAATTCGAGTCTCCTATGTTCGAGGGCGACACAATAGGTGGTATCGTCAACACAGTTTGGTTCTCTTACATACCATCATTACTGTATCAGTCCACTAATAACCTTCACCAAAATGGAGCGTGGCCGTCAACGGACTCGAATCACGGGACCTCCTCAAAATGCAACTCAAACAGCTGCCGAGTCATCTGCGGATGATAGTCCAAGTCTAAGCCCTACCGGGTTAGACGTGAGATTCACCTTAGACCATCAACCTAGAGGGCGCTCTACTTCGCCTGCTCAAGCCTATCTCGCGAGGCCAAGCGTGGACTCCCGAAGGAGCTCATCGGTCATGAGCATAATGCAGATTGATCAGATTATCTCCGATGATCGAATCAACATGGAGACGTATGGGGTCTCCGAGATACGCGATGGCTTCTTTGACGCTCTCTTCTTAAAGCCGGACCCGGTGAATCCAGATGAGGTTGCTGAACGGTCCAAAGCTGCTCTGCCTAAGGAATTCGAGAAGGGTCATCCGTTATCAGCAAAACACTTTCTCCCAAGGCAGCTCCATGAGCTCAAATCAGTGACACGCAAAGTTGCTACCACTAGAGCTGGCATCAAGCTTCTAAAGTCGTTTCTTGCCTTTTTCATCGCTTATATCTTGTGTCTGATACAACCGGTCCACGACTGGCTAGGTTATAATGACTACATCATGGTGGTGTCTACCATAATAAATCATCCAGGTCGCAATTTTGGTTCTCAAGTTGATGGCACAGTAGGCACTATCATTGGTACTGCTGCCGGCCTTGCCTGGGGCTATGTTGGCATTTTGATTTCATCAACGAGTGATGCTTTAAAGGCGTCTGGTTGGATTATTGTTGTCGTTTCCGCTGTGTTCTTTGCGGGCATTGCATTCATACGTTCATTCTTTATCCGCCTATACCAGACTGTTCTATGTGCAGGCATAGCCCTTGCGTTTACAACACTGGCCCAGACTAATGGTAATGCTTTCACCTGGCACAAGTCACTGCAATACGGAATTCCTTGGCTGTTAGGTCAAGCAATTGCACTGGCGGTAAACTGTCTCGTCTTCCCTGATGCCGGCAACCGCCTGCTTGCGGCCGCCTTTCATAAATCATTCAATACTATGCAGGTGGGCTATGTTCACATGTTTCTCTTTTATCGTCATACTAACTGTCCAGGAATCTCTTGTTATCCCTAGGCCTAGAGATACAGGACTCAGGAGGCGTCTTGCCAAAACATTCATGGACATGTCACTTGCTTATCGAGATATGAGAATCGATATCACCATCACTCGCTTCCGTCCAAATGACGTGCGAGAGCTCCGTAATTCAGTGCAAGGCGTGGTTAGGGCCCTTCTCTCTATGAACACGGATACGGAACTTTTCGAGGACTGGTCCGACACTCTTGAGATCACTGTTGCAGATGACGCGGGAAGTGAATCCGAGGTCGAAGATTCTGGCCGTAAGGTGGCTCGGGCTCTGTCGGGTCCTACTAGGGAGGTCATCGATTGTATGTCAGAAGGTTTGAAGACATGCCATGCTGCACTCATGGACCTGACAGGCTGGCGAAAGCACTTTGGCCCCTCTGCTGACGTTTCGTCTGACCTCGTTCCTGTCCAATTGCGCATGCAAAACAGCCTTGCAGCCTTCGATACTGCGGAAGATCATCTCCTGAGATCGAACGACAGGCCCGAAACGTATGCCGATCATGGACAGGCTGTTGAATTCCTCGTATTCGCGAGACATGTCCGCGAAACGGCAGGGACTGTTGTCAACCTCATGGCCATAGTTCAGGATATGCATACCAGCTCTAAAAGGATACGCGTCAACCTTCCTGTGTACCCTTTCGGGAAAGCTCTATACAGAACAAACGAACAGGTTAGACACGATCGTGGGGGCGTTACGGCTGGTATGTATCGAGCGACATTTGCGGAGATAGCAAAACTCATAGAAACGACAAGATCAACTGAGAAGCATCATCCTCGTGAGAACTACGAGGCGGTCACTGAACCAGAAGACTGCACAGTGGTCGAGTCGATCATCCATGGCAGCCCTGCGTCGCATAAAGATAGGCTGGGTTATAAGTTATGGAAGCTCATGCGCCGTGGTCAGGGGTTTGAAACCAAGTATGCAATAAAGGTTGTCATTCTCCTTTCTGCTCTATCTCTTCCTTGTTGTTTTGAAAGCACCTATAGCTGGAGGAGGACGCCTTATGATGCATGGTGGGCTGTCGCTATGGGATGGATCATGATCCACCCTCGCATAGGGGGCAACATTCAGGACTTTTTTACTCGTGCTTTTGCCGCCATTCTTGGTGCTGCGTGGAGTGGTGCAGCACATGCAACGGGCGGCGGGAATCCATATGTCCTGGGAGTCTTTGCTGCTATATACATGATTCCCATGATATACCGCTTTACTCAGAGCACTCACCCGGTACGTTTAATCTCGAGCTCCAAGGCATTGCTAACTTTTGTGAAGCGATCTGGTCTTGTCGGCTGTCTGTCTTTCGCCGTAATATCTCTCACGTTGCGAGACGACAGTTCTGGAACTTCCGTTACACTACAGGGTGTTTATAAGGGCTTGGTGTTTCTTATCGGTACCATAGCACCCATCATTGTGAATTGGATACTTTGGCCCTTCATCGCTCGACACGAACTACGGATCGCACTATCATCAATGATTTTATACATGAGTATAATGTACAGAAGTAAGTCTGTGTACCTTTTCTCTGAGGCTCTGCTGATCGTCAGATGTTGTTGCAAACTATGTTTACTTCGACGAGGGTAAAGATCCGACCCCTGAGACTATCAGACGTTCTGAGATGCTCGAAAGTCGGATGCGTGAAGGTTTTGTCAGAATCCGACAACTCCTTGTCATGTCACGTCATGAAATTCGTCTTCGAGGCCCTTTTGACCCAATCCCTTACTCGTGTCTCGCTGCCTCATGTGAGCGATTCTTCGAGTATCTCATTTCTGTTCGACAGTCCGCCCTCTTTTACAACCCAAATTACATCCGAGACAATCCCGTGGCTGCTGAGAAGCTGCATAGCTACCGGCGTGATGCAGTGGCCGCTATCCTCGGGAACTTGTACATCCTCGCCGTAGCATTGCGATCTGAGCGCAAAGTTCCTGTAAGTATGAAGCTCGCGTATGATGACAACTCGGGCTAACAAACCGCGAAGCGCTATCTACCAAGTGCTGCTGCAGCAAGAAAGAAGCTCCTTCATAGAACCGCCGAAGTGGCCAGAGAAATGGAAGAAGACACCGAAGGCTATGAGCTTGAGCGACAGAAAACGTGGAGTGATATATATAGCTACTCATACAATGCGAGTCTTACTGGCTGTGTGGCCCAGCTGGAAGAGTTGGAGCGGTTCACAAAGCTCATAGTAGGAGAAAAGAAGTGAGTCATTATCCACATTCACAGGGTCACTGTTAACAAGAGCAGGTTCGAGCGCCCCGCAAAACGCATAGAAGACGATGATGAAGATACTGATGTATCGCCTGAGCGGCTTTGATTGATCCTATATTGATCTTATCCTATCCATGCAATGCAATGCTAAACCAGTTCCGCTAATCAAACATATGCGCCGTTGGTCATTTCGTTCAAGATGTCCCTCGTGATAAGTTTTCCTTTTAATAACGCCTTGTCGCTAATCCTGGCCGTTTTCGGTGAACGCCTGCGGTTCTCCTTTCCAGAACATTTCTTCCGTGGTGATTTAATCCTTTGTGTAGGGCCTGTTGCTGTGATCTGTGTACCAAAGTCCTCAAAATAATGGTTCTCAAGCGCATTGGCGGGCATTTCGTAGATCCAATTCCGGTCCTCCATCAAAGATATGAATCGGCTTAGCATACTGTCGCTGCCGCTGCCCTTGAGTGTCGATTTGCTCCCAACAACGAGGAGCTTTGTTTTGGCTCGTGTGAAAGCAACATTGATTCGTCTCCAATCCTTCAACAGGTCTCCAATGTTACACGCTTCATTGCTTCGCACGAGACTGAGGACAATCACCTCCTTATCTCGTCCCTGGAAACGATCGGTTGTGTGCATCTCTACTCCAGAGAACATCTTGAGCTTGTCTTTGAGCATAAATAGCTGTGCTCGGTAGTGTGTCATCACACCAATTTCAGAGTCTGGAACTCCAACTGTCAAAAGGCCGTCAACGAGCTGAGAAACGATGCGGACTTCAGCCGAGTTGACGATTCGTTTGCCTTGGGCTTCTTCACGAACAGGAGGTTGGATTGTGTCAGTGTTAACGAAACGCACGCGTGCCTCGCTATCGAGAAGGTCATATAGCCAGCATCGATTCGGACCGGGGGCAGCGCAGAACGACCGGGGAGTTGCTGCATTGATGGTTGATGCGTCATAGTGTCGCTGCATGAGAGCCTCCATTCGTGGAACTTCAAGTTTCCGCCTTCGAAGCTGCTCTGTACCGCACCGAAGCCTTCCATCATAGATGAGAGTGTTGCTCAGAGTCATGATATCCTCACACATGCGGTATTGATGTTCCAAGTTGACGACCGATTGGGGGTGAGTGTCGGACAAGAGTTTGAACAGGCTGACATCGAGACCGCCTTCGCGTGCTTCTTCGTTCTTGACCACGGGCGGAAGCTGGTTGTGGTCGCCAACAAGGACAAAAGTGCGAGCCATTCTGATCGGACCAGCGCAGATGGGCAGGGTAATTTGTGATGCCTCGTCCACGATGCAGTAATCAAAGGAGCGTTCGTGGAAGACGGGATGGTTGATACCGAGACATGTCGTTGCGACGATTGGTGTCCCGTGCCATGCATTTTTGATCTCATCGAACGACTTCATTGGGTGGCCTGCAAGAATAGCGAAATCCTGGACGTCGGGGTGTACTTTAGCGGGGGCTCCCAGACGAAGGATAGGTATCTTGTCAGCCTTGAGTTTCAGCAGAATGTTGTCCACAGCAGTATGTGTATGCGAGGTCAGAAGCACACTCTTCCCCTGGGATGTCAAAGCGCGGATGATATGAGCAATGGTTGTTGTTTTTCCAGTACCGGGCATTCCAAGAACAAGTGCGTAGTCTTGAGCACTCATGACTTTTTCAATGGCTCGATGTTGATCAACATTGAGGCTATCTCGATCCGATACGATGTACTGAGTTGGTGCAGCCTTAAATCTGGGTGCTTCTAAATCGACAATCAGTCGTCGAATTTGCCGCGCTCCCACGATATCGTCCGCCATCATCTGCACGAGGTTGTTGCGAACAGTCGCCATTCCGTTGCTGAATTCATCTTGGTCGAGTCGATAGCGAATAGGGGCCTCTTTAATTTTGCCCGTTGCCTCATCCTGGGTCGCGCCCTCATGGGCAACGTCCATAATGCTAGCAAAAATCTGGTTGTCCCTCTCATCGAAGCCAGGTTGTCGAATGCGGGCATTATGGAGTCGCCTATCGACTGCAACACTTATTCGTTGCCTCTTGACCGCTGTAACGTAGCCTATGGCCAAGGCGAAATGGCCCTCCTCGTCAGAGACCACAATTGGCTCTCCGACTGACAACTCAGACTCCAGGAATGAGAATCCTGAAACTTGAACTCGCTTGACAAAGGTGTAGTGGTATCGATTGATCCTAGGGTTGTCCGTGTCGACTGAAGCTGAACCTTCTTCGATGATGACATCTGCAAAGCATCGAGATTTCTTTTCTCGTTCAGCACTAGTCATTGTCCATAACTCTCTCTTGGTTTTTTGGCTCTCCTTCTCTTCTTTGGTCAGTAAATTCTCCCACTTGATGAAGAATTGTTGGTGATGAGGGGTTAAATGCTTGACGAGCTCATCAAATTTCTCGTTCATACCACTCGAGTCCCCATCTCCGTCGTCCGCGAGTCGATGATAGATAAAACATGATGTCTTGGCGTAGCATTTCCCACACATGTGCTTGCTCTTGAGCATTGGTGGCAACTGGACGCTTCTTTCTCGAACGTAGCATGCTAGTTGGTTTCTTTGCATGATCATATGTCGAAGCTCGTGTCGGATTGCGGGAATACGCATCGTCTTGGATGTTTCCATATAGTAGAGGATTCCATATGCAATCTCAATGTCGTAGCGGTCCGATAAGAGCAAAGTATAGAGTGCTGTTTGAGCCATATGGTTACTGTTTGCATGTTTACCCGTCTTGACCTCAAACGGCACAGTCAAAGTCCGAATATCATTTCCATCTTGCATTGCAACTTCAACGGTTGCGTCGATGTTGCCCTTGAGTCCGTACATTGGGGACCACACGTGTTCCTCAACATCCAAGAGCTTGGTAACGGCCATGTTGGCCTTCTTCCCGTTTCGGTCTTCAACTACCGCATCCTCCTTTGGGCGGGAAGATACGAAAGCGCCAGCCCAGTAACTCAATTCGGTCATTTTCGATTGTAGATGCTCTCGAGCTGACGGTATGCCAACTTTGATAGTATAAAGGTCTTCGACATGCTTTTCTGTTATTCGGTCGATGACGGCGCATAAAAAAGGGAGATCCCACTTATTAGCAAGAAGGGCCTCTTGGAAAATTTCGTGTAGCATTGTTCCATAGATAAGGGGTGGTGTTGGTGGACTGGTGGCCTTGACACGATCTTGCAGCACAGCACGGCGCATGCAACCGAACGAGTCAGCCACTACAGTTGCGGATATGAGTTGATCAGGGTGTAGAATAAGAAGATTTTGGCCATCGTCGATGATACATTGACCTCTTGAAGAGAAACCGCCTATAATGTGAACGTAGGCTTCTGCATGGGCTGGTGTGTCAAACCATGAGGCCCTCAGATGAACCGTCTTGATATCTTTTGAGTTGTCGGCTTGAATGAGAAGAATCTGAGGTTGCGAATCAGCAATATTCGAGTATGATTGTCGATTAATTTACCTTTTCTGGTCGTGCATGTCCATATTGATCCGTATACTCGCCCTCCAAGACATTCGTCACCAGGTATCGTTGGATTGTTCTTGGTTTCCGGCTCTACCTGTTACTTAGCATATGGCGGATCCTCCTAGGTTGTTCGACGTACGTCTCCGGAGCAGTTCTGGGCTGCTTGTGTGGCTGCCAATTCCACGGCTTCAAAATCAAAGTCTCCGCCAAATGCGTCTCCAAATTCATCATCCAAGTCGTCGAGTTTTGTTGTTGCTGGAGCCTGTGATACCTGTTGAGAGTCCGCAGTAATGAGATCTTCTGCCTCGTCGAAGAAGTCATCGTCCAAGTCGTCAAATTCATCCAGCTTGCCGTCAAACTTCTCCGGTGTCTCGTCATCGATCTCGCACAGTGGGTTATTTTCAGCTACTGCTACCTCTGGTTGCGGATTCGTTTCCAATTGAGTAGTGTTGATGCTGGCTTCAAGTTGCATTATTGTGTCGTCGTCAAATTCGTCAAAGTCATCATCACCATAGTCCGAGGAAGCAGGTTCTGGAGGTAGCAATTGAACTGGAGGTCGAGCTGGAACCTGAACATGCTGTTGTGCAGGGTGTTGTGCAGGCGTTTGGGACCTGGCTTGGGTTTTTGAGAGGCGTGGAGAGCCACTGCTAGTGGTATATATCCGCCTCTTCTTAGGAGAAGGAGATTCTGGAGCATCTTGAGGCTCCTCGCGGGGCTCCTCACTTGGCCCGTTGATGCTACTGGTCACCGTATCGAGCAGTGCATTTACCATTGAAGACTTGGACGCCTCCATCTCTTCCATCTCGGTACTCAGGCGACTACCTGACGTCGATCTTTCAACCCTTCTCCTTTTGGGCCAATTCAAGCCGCAACTTATTGCTCGTCTGAGATTGGATTCGCCAACCGTTGGTTTCGATGGCCGTGGCGAAGACGATACCATCAGCTGTGCAAGTGCAGGGTTTGCAAGTCCTAGAGGACTACCTGCATTGTCGGTTCCGTTTAGCGAGTATCGGTCCCATAATTCCAGTGTTGGATCCGCGTGTGGTGACTTGAGGGCTTGCGCCAGCTTCTTGACGTTCACCGAGGGTGTGTTGGACTTGTCCGCTACCGGAGATGAAACAGGCGATGAGCTCCTAGCACGCTTTCTTCCTTTGCGGTTCAACATGGGAGACAATGCTGGCATGTACAACGTATCCTGTCTGTTGTCCCAGAGGAGCCGGTCATTTGGCGATGTAGTTGTGTCATCTTCGGTACCACCTGCAGGTTCGAGCAGCTCTTGCCAGGTCAATCGAGTAGCGGGCGTAGTCGTTGTATCGTCCTTGGTTCGGTTGTTTGATACATTCTGTTCGTTTTCTGTGCTCTCTGAGACTGATTCGCCATTCGCGGGGTGATACTGAAACTTATTGAGCTTGTTCTTGGTCAACTCGGACACAGGCTGGAGGGCTCGAGGCCTTGGTGTTTGCTGAACAGGGTTGCTCCTCGATCGCTGCCATGGCGAGCGCTGTAACCGTTAGTGATGCTCAACTTTGTGTCTTGTACATAGTCTTTTTCATTACCTTAGTTCGACCAACTTGATCCGAGTAGGATTTTTCTAGAGGCATTATACCTACCGGGGCTTGAACATTCCGATTTCCAAACCCGTGAAGTATGGTGATAGTGGGACATTTGAATTGAAGTGGAGGAAGTAGTTAGACGCGTTTAATGGGCAAACGCGTCGCGATGTTCGCGACCCCTTGCAGCTGTTGTTGCCAGGTCACGTGGAGAAGCTTTTAGCGTGGTTGGAGCTGCAGCACATCCATGTCATCTCCAAAGCTCTATCGAAGCTACTACCCGACTCCACCATCAACGGCCCTGTGCGTCAGTGGACCAGGCTTCACAGCGTCACCATTTTCGGTCCCGCCAAGTCCGTCATTTGATGATCTCGAGCCGATGAATCAGTGAAAACACCACCTCACAACGCTTACTCAGACTCTGATTCACTGTACTTTCGACCTCAAGAATCCCAATTGCGATGAATTCTCAGCCCAATGGCGCTGGCCCTGCCCAGTCCCGCGAAAGCTACAAGCACTCTATGGAAGAATGGCGCCAGTCGGCACTCGCCCAGCGCAACCAATATGAACCCCGCGTCAAAGAACAAGTCACTCGATACTTTCAAGAATACTCTCCCCCGTTTTACGCCTCCGTAATTGGCTACCGTCGTGATTGGAATCTTCTTGTTGCGACGTCCAGAGTCTCTGGCTTCGCTGCCACTCTGGGTCGAGATCTGGAGGATGTGGAAGCAAAAGCCATTGCCGAATACACCCTCGATAACATCCACACCAACGCCGGCTTAAAGTGGCTGAGTGTCGCACTCGCTGGATACATGACCTATCGTGGTCGCCGCACATGGCAATTCCCCTTCTATAAGCCCAAGCTCGGCGGCCGATTCAACCCAAATGAGGCTACCAGCATTTTCACCAACAAGAAGATTCGTGGAGCTTACCCTCGTGCAACATGGCATTGTCTTCGATTTACTGCCTACTCCGCTGTCATAATGCTCATGATTGAGCCCGCATTCCGGGCTGTCAGTTTTATTCGAACTGAAGCTGCCATGACAAATGATCCTCGCTTGAAACAGTTCACCAAAGATGCTGCCGAGCGTGTCAAGGATGTAATGAGCAACCCAACCATCTCAAGAGCACCTTTTACAGGTAGGGATGTGCATAAAAGTGATGAGAACGACCCTTGGGCCAGTAATGATTCAAGCAACACCAGCCCTGAGAGTAGATATCAGCCCACCCCCACCCAGTCCTGGGACAAGACCCAATCCTCGACCACGACGCAACAGAGTCAACAACCCAATGACGACTGGAGCGTTCTAGATGATGATGATGATGATGCTTCACCAATCGCTGCCTCTTCCCGCAATAAACCAGTATCTTCTCCTGCTGGTTCTGCGTGGGAGCGCATTCGACAACAATCACAAGGTCCGACCCAGCAATCTGATTACCAGTCCCGCACCTGGGCTGCCCATTCTCAAACCGGATCCCGGCAAGAATCACAGTCTGGCTGGGGCACCAGGTCTGCTGGTAGCTCCAGTGACAGTTTTTCGTTCAGCAAATCAGATGAGGAAAGGGCAGTCGCAAAAGAACAGGCACAAGACGAATTCGATCGACTTGTTGAAAGAGAAAGGAAGGGCGTGGATCAGGAGAAGGCCTGGGGGCGCAAGTAGAGTAAGCATTGTACAAAAAGACTGCATATGACGCTGTGTGTATTTTTCATGTAGCACAAATGAATAAAGCATAATTCCATAAGGGGTGCCGCTGTGATTCATTTTGTTTCATAACGCTGAAAACAAACTCAATTCTGATTACGTTGCCAGCTCGACCATCTACAATATACCCATATCCCCCTCGACACGTCTACTATCATTCTTTTGTTTACTGCTTAACTTCATCAGACACGGCAACAGGCTCAACTGCATCACCTCCCTCCGTCTTGTCCACAGTGGTCTCCAAGATACTCTCACCAGCTGTGTTCGTAACGAGACTCTTTTCAACTTGAATTGGTTCTTGTTCACGCTCAGGCTCATGTTCTTGGAGAGACGCCTCTGGAGCTGGCTCTGGGGAAGGTTCCACGGCAGGTTGCTGTGCAGGGAGCTCAGGCTCAGCTTCTTGAGGTAGCTTTCCTGCTGCGGGTTCCGGATCCCTATGCACTGGAACTGATTCAGATTCAGGCTCTGATCGGAGCTCCGGCTTGGGCTCCAGATTAGGCTCAGACTTCGGTAACGGTTCTTGGGTAGTCACGGGCTCAGCGACAGGCTCCTCAGTCTTTTCCACCGCTGGCTCTGGTTCAGAAACAGGAGTTCGTTCACCGGATACTGACAGAGAGCCCTCGGGATCAATAGACCAGAGAGTCTGGGGAGTTGAGAATGACAAAGAAGGACCCGCAGATTGCACGGCCGGCGACGGTGCCGCAGCGGGGCTCTTTGCCGGAGCTCGGCGCTGTGGGCCCCGGGCTCGGCCTTTGCGAGCATCCGAAAGCGGGGCCTTCTCCTTCTCTTCAGTCAAATCCTCTTGCGGCTTGGGATCCTCCTTCTTAGGAGCCTGAGGTCCTAACTTGAGACGCTTATTCAGATCGCTCATAAAGCCTGCTTGAAGGGCGGCAATCTTGCTACCGGCCGGTCGGCTAGGCACGGGAGGCTTCTGTTTGGGCTCTGTCGAGTCTCCTGATGAGGCTTTTGTAGGCCGAGGAGGGATCTGAGGCTTTGGCTTGTCAGATACAGGAGGTTTTGATTTGCCCTCATCGCTTGTTGTGTGCTTGGGCTTGGGTCGCTCTGGAATTGCAGGACGATCCTCAGATGCTTTTCTAGCCGGTCGCTCCGGAATTGAAGGCTTGTTCTGCTCCGTAAGTTCCTCCTTAGGTTCCTCCTTAACCTCGGGTTCTGGGGTATCAGAGATGGTAGTCTCGTAGAGCTGGCTCTCGGGAGCATCTTCCCAAATATCTTTGCTGGGGAATCGTTGACTAGCGGAAGGTCTCTTGTTGTTGTTAAGGAAAGAATCAGATTCCTTTGATTCGTACCAGATTGGCTTGTCATGGTTCTTAGGGGGCTGAATATCCACAGGACCACTGGCCTCTTGCTCGGCAAGTTCCTCTTGTCTCTGAGCAAAGATATGAGCTGGGGTTTTAGGACGATCCATAGCAGATGATCGTCGTCGCGGCTCCTCTGTCTGCTCTGCCTGGTCCGCCTGGTCCGCCTGGTCTGGTGTCGAAACCTCAACAGTGAAGTGCACGCTGTCCGGGGCATCCTCCCAAATGTCCTTGCTAGGGAAATAGTGTCGTGCCTTGTTGCCAGGTGCTGGCTTCTGAGCTTCCTTCTTACCCTCTTCAGGGAAAAGAGGCTCATATTCTTCCACGTCGTCCAGAGAAGTGGGAGCAAATTCTTGAGAATCATTGTTCTTATAGATGCTGGTGGGTCTGCTCTTGGGTCTGCTAGACCTGCTCAGAGGTCGACTTGTTGGTTCCTCCAAGTCGCCGCTACCTCGACGGTCAGCGGGAGGATGAACAGCAGGACGCTGGCTGTAAGAAGAATCATCATTCTTGACTTCGTCGGCAGCCAAAATGGGTGCGGTGTATTCATGGTCCTCGTCGTGTACAGCAGGATCTTCGTTACCATACGAGCGGTACTCTGGGTGCTTAGGATCGTCAACGTGCACAGTATGTTCACCATCGGGGCCAATGATCTCCGACTTAAATGACAGAGGCTGAACCTTGCCTTCATTGGTGGAAGCGGGTCGGGGAGAGAGGCGGGAAGTATATTCTTCACTGGCCTGGAAGCCAACTTCATCAGTAGGCGTAGCCTGATAACCAGATGTGCCTGCATCTCATTAGCTAGTGCGAGCACAAGTAGATTCGCAACTTACCTAAGCCGGCACCACGAGATCGCGTGTCTCTGACCAGCTTGTTCAGGTCATCCTTGCTCATGGCAAAGTCATTTTGACGGTCATGCAGAGGAGTCTGATGTTCCCTCTTAAGGGCTTCAGGGTGCTTCTCGTAGTATTCCTTCTCGAGTTTGTCCAAGGGTGCAACACCATGGCCGTGGAGGCCGTAGCTGCCCGGAGGTCCACCGCGAGAGCTGTGCTTGCGATGGTGGTGCTTCTTGAATTCCTCGGACCCAGGTCCAGGCGAAGGGGCCTGAACGTCGCCAAGATGAGGGTTCATGGGCACGCGCTGGCCGATTTCGGGAATGCCATGCTCATCCTCCACCTCAGGACGGCCATCACTGACCGACACATTGGTGCTAGACTGCTTCTTGTTGCCCTGTGTAGATCCAGGGCGGCCAATGCCAAATTGTGCTGCCTTGTCGGAGTCGGTGCGGGTAACAGCCTGGACACGCTGCTTGGCGCTTTGAGCTGGCAGGGAGGGCTTGGGCGCATGAAGCTTGAGGTCTTCCGCAATGGTACGTGTTTGCTCGGGTGACGCAGCTCTGTCGTCCTCGTCGGCCTGGACCTCTTCAGGCTTGACTTCGTGGGTCACGGCACTGTACTCAGCACCCTCCTGGCCAATCGAAGGCATTGAAACGCTGGTTGGGCGGTTGATTGGGTCCTGGTGAGCATCGTTGGGGTTGAATCGGGCAGAAATGGGACTCTTTTGAGGAATGCCCTCGTTGAAAGGTGAGGGAGCAAATCGATCGGGATTGGGAGATATCGAGCGGTCAAATCGTTTCGATGAAGGACGAGGTGGAATCTTGGGAACATTGCCCAGGGAATCGTTCTTGTCCTGGCCCTTAGCCGGACGGGGAGGAATAGCGGGAGGTTGTTGCATGGCGGCAGCGGTCATTGTTGATATTTAGATGCTCGAAGGAGCGATTATAGAAAGTTGACGAAACAAAATAATAGAAGTAAATGCGGTTTCATGTAAGACGGTGATGATGATCTGGAACGACCAACAAATGGTCAATACTAAACAATCAGTATCAAAGTTCGAATAACAAGTGTAGAACCAAGGCAATTGGAAGCTATAGTACGAATTGGAACTTATCCGTGACAGGGGCATAGACTGGTATTTAAAGACATTTGTTGGCCTCGATCCCAGTCTAAAGTCCCATCAACAAGATTCCGTCCATCCATGTGCCCGTGCCGTGCCTGTAGGTTGTACCTGTTACCGGTTCCAGCTGCAGGTAGCTAAGGTACTGTACAGTGCTGGACCAGCCCCTGGGCTTATCGGATCCACGGTTCACGAGTTAGAGGCGCCGCCTGTGAATGGATCCATTGCTATCAGAAAGCGATAGAAATCCAATCCCACATACGGGCACACCCTGCTGCGCCCACCAAGTGTTGCGCCCGTCGCACACCGATTGATTGATCTTTTGCTTAGGGACGAAGAAACTTACCAATGGGGTTGCCGTGATTGGTATTGATTGGCCCAGGCACAAGCAGTGCAGATATAGTATAGTTCAATAATAACAACCGGCTTCGGTTGGGGATTTGAGGCGTGAGATAAGACGAGATATACAAAAGCTATGTGCGCATTTCAAGCTGGCAGCGGGCCCGACTAAATCAGTGTATTTATATGCCAGATTCTGGCCTCAATACAATACAAAATGGAACGTCCAGGTGACAGGAAGTGCCACCGGAGCTGGTGACTTTTGTTCGTCGTCACTGGTTGTGAAAACAGGGATGGCGATGGCGCCAAGTCGGACGGTGCGAGGCGTTTCTGATCAACACTGTAGCTAGATCGTGGATTGTTTTGAAGAGTTGAAAAGATGGAGAATGCAAAGAAGCTGCTCTATTCTCGACGGTCTTTGGTTAGGAGGTTTTATTCAGTTTTCAGCTGCAATTCGTGTATTCTACTCATGTTAGAGCACGAATTGAGTACATGTTATAACCTCATCCCATTGTTGACCTCTATTCTGAAGCTTACCTCAGAGCTTTCCAAATAAAGCATTTTTGTCACTTGCATGGCCCTGGATACAGTGCACCCCGCATAACTATGATACCACAGTCCAGTCCCAAGTCCCTGAATCTGTCTGTGTACGGTTCCATGAGTCTGCGATTGTCCTCTGTCCAATCCCATTGATGAAACTTGAGACGCGCGGTGCGACAGCCAAATCAATGCAGGTGCTTGTTTCTGTCTTGAAATTATGCATGCATGGCTTTGTCTTTGGCCAATATATCATCATAAGAAAGAATCATAAGCAAGGTACCTTACTCACTCACTCTCATCAGAGTCCCTCAACAGCTCGCTCCCGCCGACCCGCCATAGTTCATCATGGCGGGGATCTCCTGCAGTCTATTCCCCACCAACCGATCGATGCTGCAGCCGGCTATTTTCTTCCTGTTGACGCTCCCGTCCATAAGAGGTCAAAAGAATGACGCTTACTCGACGGCGTGCTACTGGACGGTACGGTGAACAAACCTGACGGTCGCCTGACCAGCTGGAACGGAGCTATCAAACCATGCATTGCAAGTGAAAACGTTGTTGGTAAGAGACCACGAGCCCCTCTGTTGCTACAAAGTAGAGTGCTATTCAGAGTCAAGTACTATCGTGGTCCCCGGGAAAAATTGGAGTCTCGACTTGGATCAGCTAACAAAGGTCAACGACGATCTCGTTGTTTTCGAGATTCTAGACTTCTTTCAGCTTCTATGTCGTTGTAAATAGAAGCAGAAGCAAAGGCTGGTGTCAATGATCGCCCACCTGTGATGGAAAAAAGCTTTGTTTCCCCTGGGCATCTTACAGTATCACGATCCTCCAGTCGAATCACAACCCGTCTGACCCCTCCACCCTGTACATGATGCAATCAGACCGAGAAGTTTTCCGCAGCTGTCCCAAAAAGGTCCGTTCTGACGCCATCACCGTAACCAAAGCTCCAGTTGACCGGTCCGGTTACCCTAGACATTGCTTACTCTTGTATCGTGATGAGTAGAGTATATGGCCTTGTATTGTTCTATGATTCATTCTATCATCGTAATGGTTTGTTTTTAACTTATGACAGAGGAGCGCTGGTTTTGTGGAACGCCATGGCACGAAGCTCGTTGGCGTGAAAGCAACCAAAATTCCTTGCAGCATCCGGTCTCGAATCTAACAATTGCCCAGTCCGTTCAGCCATCAACCAAATTCAAACTAGCGCCCAGCAGACAGACCTGGGTATCATATCACGAGGGAATCAGAGCTTTAAGCACTACCTTCTGCAACGTGCTCCTTGTCTAGAATTATGAACATTGGGTTGCCGTCTTTGATATGCAGCTAATTTCAGCACATTGCAGTTCTTATCACATGATGGACATGGGTGAATTACCACATTGATATGGCGGCGATCCCGAGAGCTATCAATAGCTTTCCAGAAATGCTATTCATAGCATGGAACAATATCTGCCAGTGGGTAAATGTATTGAAGCAACATCGACACCATCATAGCATGATCTCATGAGCAGAAATACAAGAAATGAATTCAAATTTTAGCGAAATAACTCAAAATAACGCAGTCGTTGAAACTCGTTCACGAAATGGCATCAACTTCAATCAAAACATGAGCCGTTCCTCATCCCAGACGCCAAATCCAGCTGGGTATACAGGCCGCTGCTCTTGGCAGGAACCTAAATCGTCGAGATAAGCAGATTTTCCATCATCATCCCCGTCCTCCTGCACCTGCGAGCTATGGAAAGCCTTAGGTGCCTCCTGTACTCGGCGAACTCCACGGTGCAAGATGTCAACTTAAATAGTGGTTCGTTCGCTTCGTGGTAGAGCCACGAAATTGGTCGGGCTGGCAGCTGGCGAGTCTACACAATCATCTGCGCGACGCCCTGACCACCGAGGGTCTTGCTGCCGACAAAGGCCTGACCCTTGATACCGGCAAGCAGGTAGCAAAGAGCAGTCAGCAGCAGGAAGACAGCAGCAGCAATCAAGCTGCTTGCACCGCTGACATTGCTAATGAACTGCAGAGCAGACATGACGCCGTAGGCGGCCGCGCGCATATAATTGGTCGAGATCTTGCGAATCGTCTCATCGAACTTGCCGGAGGTTGGGCAGATTCGGAGAAGAAGAGGGACCTCGATGAAAAGAATGACAAAGGCCGATGCGCTGTGTATGGTTAATATCGATGCTTCGTCATAACATGGGCGATTCTTACATAGCAAAGGCGCAGAAGATAATGCGAACTACATTAAACGAAAAGATGTTGGCGATTCCAACAGCCAGACAGATGATCATGGAAAGAATTCCAAGCCTATACACAAGTAGTGTTAGTCGGTTGTTACGTCGTAGTTCATTCGGTATGGGTCATGTCGCAAAGTGGCTTAACAGCTCAATAGCTATGATTGAAGCTGTATACAGCCGAGGAACGTTAGCCTACCATTGTCCGTAGATGCCTACACGAATGTTAGTATCTTCCACAAAGCGCAGTCAATCGAGAGCGACATACTGAAGTTTCGCGTTTGGAACTCCTCCTTGAGCGTCATCTTGCCAGCTTACGTCGAGCTTTCGTATTCGGGCTTGGACCAGCCGAGGGAGAAAGTGACTGATGTTTTCTAAGAGACCAATTCGAGATCGTAATCTGATTGCAGCAAAGCGTATCGAGAAATGTCGATTGTTGCGACGGCGATGGAGACTGAATCGAGAGGTGGAGAGTTTGAATTGTTGTGACGACGGGGATGCGAAGTTTGAAATGATGAACGTAGCCTCTTGGTCAGGTGTAGGCGCAGGATGGTATGGTTGCTGAGGTGGTCCCCAATTTTGATTGAGGCTGGTGCAGGGTCAAAGGGCTTGGCTCCAAGTGTCAATACGGACGGACAAGTTAATGGAAGGGCAGGCGAGTGGATGCTCCACGGGGCATTGGTTGTTTTGTGTTTGTAGGGGAACGGGTCCTTGTAAGGAGGATGGATGGTGCGCTACTGATAGTGGAGGTCCAGTTGGCGAACATGAGACAAAGGGTTTGGGTTTCGGATCTCTGGGTCTGCTGAGACGCAACCAAGAGAGCTTTTGTAGTCCTTGTTTCTTTTCTTACTTTGTGCTGTCTTGCTCAACATGTATTCACTTTCTGTTTAGGCAACTCTATTCTCTGCACAGCCAAGTGACGTACGTTGACCACGCGGCATCGCCAAGCCTCGCCCAGAGTGAAGCGGAGTTGGTTCTCAGATGGAGTCTTTCACAGAGACAATTGCCAAGTTTATTAACGACAAGGCTCAGTCAGCCAGTGGATGCTTAGGAGCTCCATGAATTCGTATTCGAAGACATCAGCCTGAAGGTGAGGGCATACTGAGATTCAGGCACCCTTTAAAAGCCGTATTTTAAGCCCACGAATCAACACTCAAGGTTCATGCATATTGTAGGTAGGTAGCCATGAATTGACAATACTCCAGACTTTATAAGAACCAGCTATCATTTTAGACTTTACGATTTGAGAAGTTTGTGATGCTATAACGAGGACAAGACCGACTTCATCTTGCTCTAAAGTCATTGTCCCTTGGTTTACTTTCATAATAGCGTTCTACAGAATTATATGGACCAGCTACGGATACGTAACAATTGATCAACTTCAGTCATGCTATACGAATAAGCGAATCTGTCAGAGACTCATCTAGACCTACCCCAATCGAGATCTTCTCACAGGAATAGCCTCAATTCAGCCCTGCCAACAACACCTAACTAAACGTTCCATGGCCTGCACGATCGTACCTTATTCTTACCACGTGGTGAGGTGGAGTGTTTCCTCCCGTAGAAGATCCGGGGACCTGCCAAAGTTACCTATAAATAAGCTCCCTCTACACCATTACATCATCTTTTAACACGCATCAATTCTGTCTTTGTAGCTTATCAAGCAACACTCATTGGTCTCTCTAGCCCATATGATCTGACCGTGAAACTCAAGCAAATAACCGGTGAACCACCAATTGCACAAACTGACTCATCACAAGCTCTCTGTTGTTAAAGCCTCGCACATTTTGGAAAGTCAGTCCAGTGAATGAAGCCTCACGAAAAATGACTTATACCGTTCTTTCAAACGACCAGGTTAACTCCATCCTGGAAGGTCTTACCGTTGACGAGCTTGATGAGTTTCGCCATGTTCTGGCTTCATCCCTACACGAGTTCTCTACCGGAGTGCCGGCTCTTGAGGAAGCCTTTCAGCAACCAGAACGCATCTCAACACTACATCCAGAGACCATGGCTAAGACGCTATATATGCCCTCATGTGCCCCGTGTGGAATGGGCTGCAAAGGTGAGACTTCATCTCACGGTATAGACGAATCAATCTAACCAATTAGTAATTTCTTTGACGAGTACGGAAACATCCCAGGATTCTAGGGTTACGCAGATCAGTCCTACTGGTGTTCTCAACCTGTTCCGGCCAGATGGATCACCACTTGGAATCGTCAATGCAACAGCTCTCACAGCATTCAGAACAGCCCTGGCATCTACCTGTCTGTTGGAGCGCCGCAATCATGTCAAGACCTTGACAGTATTTGGCAGCGGCCTTCAGGCTTACTGGCATATTCGGCTTGCCCTGATGATCCGTGGCAGTACTATTAAACACGTTCATGTTATAAACCATAGGTGGAGCGATAAAGCGACCGGCATCCTGAAGAGATTCGCCAGCATCCCTCCTGAGATCAAGAAACGAGAAGGTTGGTCAGACACCAAGTTCGGTCTCCTGATCCCTGCATTCCACGAATATCGACGCCTGGTAAAAGATCAGATAAGGGATGCAGATGTGATCTACTGCTGCACAGCCTCGCAAAAAGACCTCTTTGATGGATCCATCTTAACGTCTCATGAGGGCCGCAAGAAAGGACGACTCATCGTTGCTGTCGGAAGTTATACGCCAGAAATGCGGGAGCTTCCAGATGACCTTATCCAGCTAGCAGTAAAGAGGGAGGACAAGCCTCATCGACACTTTCACAAGCATGCAGTCGAAGGCGGAGTCATCGTCGTTGATAATATCAAAGGCGTGCTCAAAGAAGCAGGCGAGATTATTGCTGCCAATATTGGGCCCCATCAACTTGTAGAGTATGTGCTTATTCCTCCTCTCCAAATAGTCACTGACATCAATGACAGGCTGGGGGAACTTGTGATGCTCCATCGTCTAGCTATAGAGGAGTCCGACGGATTCTCCAGTAGTCAGGCATCATTCTCTTCTGACATGGATAAGCTAGATATCCATGGTAGGATGAGCTCCATGTCCACGGTCTATGGCAGCGGAAGTAATGTCAGTGATGCCCCGACCAGTCCTACTGGTTCAGTAGATTCAGAAGGGCGCAGATCCAGCTCTTTTTTCCATTCAAGAAAGAACTCTAGTAGCTCTTTGGACAAAGAAAAGAGAAAATCAGAGGACCACCTCTGTCGTTGGTTGAGAGACGGTACTGTAGTATACAAGAGTGTCGGGCTTGGGCTGATGGATCTCGTGGTGGGAACACATCTGATCGAGGTTGCAAATGCAAATAATGTAGGAACTCGTATAGAAGGGTTCTAGAAAGGATAAATTGAGATAAATACTAAATGCTCTTGATACATGCTGTAAATATTTGTACACAAACTCTACTCGGCAACCCAGATGGCGGCCATACCCATACCAGTTCCTACACACATAGATGTTGCGCCAACCTTCTGGCCTGTTCGCTTCAACTCATATAGAAGAGTAGAGACCTGTCGGGCACCAGTGCAGCCTAGGGGATGGCCAAAGGCAATAGCACCTCCCTTGGGGTTGATCTTCTCTTGGGGAATACCCAGCTCGTTGGCACACCACAAGCACTGGCTGGCAAAAGCCTCGTTGATCTCCCAGATATCGACATCATCCTTGGAGATACCGGCAAGGTCGAGAGCCTTGGGGATAGCCTTCCAGGGGCCCTGTCCCATAAGAAGGGGCTTGACACCAACAATCGAGGCGCAAACGTACTTGCCGAGGATCTTCTGTCCAAGCTTCTCGGCAGTAGATCGCTTCATGAGGAGGACAGCGGCAGCACCATCGGAAATCTGACTGGCGTTACCAGCATGGATAGAACCGTCCTTAGCAAAAGCAGGGCGGATCTTGCCCAGAGACTCAGCAGTGATGCCATCTCGGACACCATCATCCTTGGAGACGGTAATCTCCTTGGTGTTACCCTCCTTGTCCTCGAACTTGACCTTGAGAGGAGCAATCTCCTCGTCAAAGAGTCCCGCTTTTTGGGCCTTGACAGCCTTCTGGTATGATGAGGCAGCGAAGGCATCCTGTGCAGCTCGGGTGACGTTGAGGTCCTTGGCCATCTGCTCAGAGAGGACACCCATGGGCACCTTACAGTTGGCAGCCTCGGGGTGGTTCTCAAAGGCTTCTGAGAACTCGGAGACAGCGCCAGGGCCATAGTTCAGGGACATACTCTCAACACCAGCACCAATACCAATATCGATCATGCCAGTCTTGATCTGGTTGGCGACATCGACGGTAGCCTGGAGACCAGAAGAGCACTGTCTGTTGAGGGTTCGGACGGCAATAGATTCAGGGAAACCGGCGACCAAGCTGGCGGCGCGCATCTCAGTTGCGCCGCCACCGGGAGCGAGAACGGTTCCGACACATAGGTCCTCGACGAGAGCAGGGTTGATCTTTGAGCGGTCGAGGATGGCCTTGAGAACACCAGCCATGAGATCAGCAGCGGGGGTGTCCTTGAAACCGCCGCGGCCTCCCTTGGTGAATGCGCTTCGGCAGGCGGCGGTGACAACGATCTATGTAAGGTCAGTAAACTATACCGGCGCATACGGCAATGCGTGGTAACATACATCGTCGGGGTTCTTCTGGAGGATCTTCTCGCGACCGCCAGCGGTCGGGTTGCCAGAGATCTGGCCTCCAATCTGAATGATTCTGTCGGTGACTGGCAAGATGGTTAGTTTGAGTTTGCGATGATCGCAGTGCGAGAAGAAGACATACCACCCATTTTTGCTATGATGTAAGGATAGGTAAGTGTATGAGGGAGAGAGTTGAGTACTGGGGGTATATGCGCAAAACAAAGGACAGAAGTTGACTGAGGCGGAGAAAAAGTATAAGAGAGGATTATTATACAGAGAGAAAATCTCGTTAGACCTCGGATGTTGTGCAGGAGTAGAAGTAGACTCGGGCTTGGTCAGCTTTGTCACAGGAGAAGATGGTAAAGAATGGCCGAAGATGGAGACCAGCTAAGAACGGACTTCAAACCGTGAGACCGACCGACCGAGGCATCTCGTCGCCCCAGTCTTGGCGTTGCTAGCGGCTCTTTTAGTGTCTGATCACATGTTATTTCCCCAGCTTTCAGCGCGGGGGAACTTCTCCAACTGCTTTCGCTCTTGCGTCACGAGGTGGCTAGCAAAGTAAGAAATACTCCAAAAAATGACGATTTGATCTGAGTCTGGTAAGCACGTGGTCCCCCAATTGTCACAAGGAAATAACCGACTCCCAATGTTTTAAGTTGTTAAAGATTGGCGAAACTGATTCGTGACACCGCCATTCCCGAACTGGGTATCAATATTAGAAAACATAAGAATTTTAATACAAGATCAACGCCATTCTACACCAAGGAAAGGAAGCAAAGATTATCAAGCAGAAACCCCCCAGTCGCGGACTGTTATTTCATACAAGTGTCAAAAGAAGAGGAAAGACCACCACAGTCCGAAACAGCCGGACTCCAGGCGCTCGGGTCATCTTCTTGATATGATTGAGATGCTATCGACAGAGCATCCCAATCCCAAGGTGAACTTGAATCTTCGCCAGAACCTGAGTCGCCCACAGATTTTGGCACCGAAAGTGAAGTGTCGAACGATGTATCTATCCTAATAGAAGGTATCGACGGTACTGTAAGAGCACGATTACGACTAGTGGGAAATTGTTGTGGTGCTGGAGGTGTAAGCACATACGGTCCGAGGATATCTTGAGGCTGCTGCATGTAAGGAGGGCTGATGCCAGTCCATGGTAGATATTGGCTAGGAGGTGCAGATCGAGATAATTGTTCTACCTTTGGGTTAGCTACATTCTGACATGAGCTAATTAGAACGACAATCTACCTACCAGTTTCATCAACTAGATGGAGAGCTTTGAGTGCATCAATGCCAAGCTCAACGCTGACCCGCTGGTCTGGAAGCTTGCCAAGCCGAATTGACAGTTGCTTTTGAACACTGCCAATTGTTTCCACGTCAATTACGTCCAGCACGCACCAGTGCCGGGCGTCCTTCCAGCGAGGTTTAGGTACTGGATGTATCTTGACGCCCCAGTTGCGAGCAAAGTCGTTATCGACGACACTCAAATCCCGAGTGAGGTAGCACTTGGCAATACACGGTACTTCGGTGGTCTGGGTTTTGAGAGTAACCCGGATCATCTGTCCATCTTTGACTCGTGCTGACTGAGTTCTTAGGGCGCTTGGAAGGGGCTGTGCTGGCGTCTGCCAGTTGGGCCCGGATAGCTGAGCAATAGGAGACTGGCCTTGGCTTGGAGGCTCCTCGTCTGTGAAAACGGCGGACTCGTCAACGGATAATCGAGGGAATGGCGAAGAGTCCTGAGAGCCGAGAGGTGGAAACGGTATGGAAGTTTCGTGTTGATTCGCCTGGGTTTGAAAGCCCAGAGGATCAAAGTACCTGTCACTTCTGGCCCGCCTTCGGAATGACTCAACCGTGTGAGAAGTAGTCGACGAACTGCTTCGACGCCTCGATCGATCCTTGGAGATAGGACTGAGTGTAGTGGGCGACCGCGAGCGAGAGGAAGCTTGTCTGATGGCTTCTTCCACGCTGAGTTTCAAGCGACCAGGCCTACCAGCCAGAGCTGGGTTTCTTTGTCTGCTCGGCGGAGTCATTGGTAAATATTAGAGTGTAGACGAAATGGATATAAGGCAGAGAATAGTGCCTGGAAAAAGAGTAAATATTGTTTAAAAAACAGGGACCTTGGTTCTTAAACAGGAACTAGACACAATGAAGAATGTAGCGGCGGGGTATGAAATTCAACCTGATTTATGTGACAGGTATATGAGGCTTGTTGTCTGAGTAAAACCACCTCTGCTAGGTTTTCCTCGACATCGTGACAGGCAGCGTAGCAAATGTGCAGATATCTGTGGTCAGCCATTGGATTAGACCCTGTAGTAGCACGCTTCTTTATTCCGAGGCATACTGGTCCAATTGTCTGCCTCGATCCTCTTTTCCATCAAACACCTAAAGAATAAGCGTTTTTGAGTGGTGTCTGGTGCTTGTCGCTGTGCACAGCCTCGCTTTACCGACATATCGAAGGCGGGCTGTGCTGCTAACGGTGAAATAAAGAGCCGCCTCGGTGCGTTGTGCGACCGAGACTGGCCACGCATGGTTGAAAGTGAGGAACTGCATCTTATCACTTCTGATGAGGCGCGGATACGGGTTTAAATCACAGTTACATTCCACTTCTGTAACTGTCATCGCCTTGTCACAATCGCGGGCTTTTTCAACCTCAATCTGAAAGGCAACCGGATATGGTGTTGTCAGTGCTGCGCCTCAAAGGGACATAAGTCACCGGGCGTCAGGCTCTGACAGAAAACAGATTCGAATGACCAGTTTCACAATAAATGATTACGAAGTAGCGTACCTCATGGAATGACACATTTGCCTCGTCATCGTAATGCGTTACGACTTCGAAAGCTGAATGCCGCCCATTTCCGAGTTATCTCAATGAGGCCAGGACATAAAAATGTCCATCTATGCACTCGACAGGTATCAGTGAAGACTCAAATTCAATAGTTACTAGAAGTTACTACAGTCAGTATATTGTTGCCTTGAGTATGCCCGCTATTTCTGACTTGCATCATAGGCTTCCTGAAAGCTGTTTTCACAGAATTACTATCAATCACATTACAAGTCTTCCAGGTATAAACGTGACTCAAGCTAGGAAAACAATTAGATTGGTCGATTTGATGGCCCCCAATATTGCTATCAAAGCCTTGTTCATGCGCTGTCCAGTAGATAGGACGGATGTCCAAGAAAATAATGGACAGAGTTGTTACAATGCATTGGTCAAGGTATGAATGCTTCTTCAAACACTTGTTACACGACTTTGAACTGATGCCTTTTTAGGTGCTCATGCCTAGCCATCTTTATGCTGGAAAAGAAAATAATTATAGTATATCCCGTTCTGCGGAAGCATCCATGAAAGGGAAATCTCGTAAGAGACAGCTGAAGGATCCTCAGCGGAAGTCCATCTATGGAGGTCAAGTGCCTCGAGTCTCCGCAGCATCATTTACTATATCATGTTCTGAAGAGGGGCTGAACAATTCGACATATACATCCCCAGGACACAATGGAACCGAAGAAAAGGGATCTTTAGTCAAGGATGAGATGACCGACACTTACCCAGAAAGTAATACTTACGTTCAAGGAAGATTTGATGGAAAGACTGAAACTTCCCTAGTAGATGGCTTGGAGGAAAGAATACGTTGCTTGGATATTACCTTTGAGGATCAGCCAGTGGAAGCCGATATCGAAGAAGCATATATACAGGGAGAAGCCTTGACACCCCCCGAAATCAAGTTCTCCGAAGACGGCGATATGGACGACAACTACTGGACTTGGGACCAGAGCTCTCAAAGATTCCGACACTGGGATGCGGAACGTGGAGAATGGTTATACTTTCCTGAGAGATTTGATTGAAACGATTTGATGAATTTTGGGCGGGTTGGGATGTGTAACGGCCAACTTGATGCAGTCAGCTGGAGGAGAACTCTAAGACCAGTCACTGTAGAACCCGTTTATTGTTCAATATTTTCATATTTCAATTTCAGCTAAGTACCACGTCACTTCACACTCTACACCATATGCTCCTCATTCATACCAATGCCGCTCGTAATCTCATCATTCGTCTTTCCCGATCCCGTATACTTCAAATCAAGCCTTGCTTTCAGGCTTATCCTTGACAGTCTTGTCATCAGGTGAAAAGCTTAAACTGACGCTGTTCACACAGTGACGCTCATCAGTGGGCGTGTCAAAGCCCTCGCCCTTGAACACATGTCCTAGGTGACCGCCGCAGTTGGCACATACAATCTCTGTTCGTGCCATACCGAAAGCGCGATCCTCGTGACGGACAACGGCACCAGGGATGCTGTCAAAGTAGGCTGGCCAGCCGCAACCAGAGCTGAACTTGTGGCTCGCCTTATAAAGCGGAGCGTCACAACCAGCACAGGTATAAACACCCTGCTCAGGATAGTGCTTGTCAAACTTTCCAGAACCAGGAGGTTCGGTACCCTTCTCACGCAGGATACGGAATTGCTCTGCGAACGTTAGTTACTGTGTAGAAGAGATGCTAGCAGTGCAGGAACATACCCTTGTTGAGGACAGCTCGCCACTCGTCGTTTGAACGTTGATCAGGGTAAGACATATTGGAAGAGTTCTTGGATGAAGTGCCAAATAAAGCGCCCAACAGAGGAATGCCGGACATAGATCGAAGGGGAATAGGTCGAAAGGCCAGGTGTGAAGGCAGAGGAGTTCTCACGCGGGTGATATTTGAGAAAGTGTAGAAGAGTGTGGATAGTAATGGAGAGAAGCGCATTGAGAAAGGACTTGTATATGGTTATTTATATTTGATTGAAGACTGAGTTATCATTCATGACCTTCAAGAGAGACGTTATAAGTCCCGGGTCTTAGTGGCAACCGGTTGACAAATCATGGGTTGCGAACTGTGGAATCATTTGCATCATCGAATTATTGCTGCTAAGCCTACCACAGCCACATCTTGGTTATCCGCTTTACGCTCTTTGTGGCCCAACGGCTCGAGTATTGCGCTTGAATACGCTGGTACAATTCCAAATCCGGTAATTTGATGATTCAACTTTAAGAGAGGATTACTCTAAAAGTTTAAAAAGTCTTATTCTCTTCGAGTACGATAAGATTTCGGTTTCAGCCCCCATGTTTCGCATCTTACCAGAATGATCGAGGTCCTAAACATATCTTATTTCACAAAGTGAGACAGATCCATTTACCTGCGAAGAGTGAGCCCTGAGTCTGAGTTTCTTTGAGACAATTGGCAGGCTAAGATAACTAAAATCCAAATTTCTTCGACCCGACTCTATTCACAAAAGAAATATTATGATACAAGTTGAGGTAAAAGGAAACCTAAGGTACCTAAAGCTTCGATCATCCAGTGGCTGGTGCGGTCTTGTAGCCCCCCGCCAATTCCAGGGGTCAGGTACCTACCACGCAGTGTTCAGACCCGCCCCGCCCATGCATTAATTCCGCTGGGCAGCTAAAGGGAACATCACCGACCACCTTGGCACCTCCCTATCAACCTTCATCCAATTCTAGGCACACCCTTTTCGAACAGGTTGCCACTTTGCAACAACACTCGTTCAGAGTGACGCTTCGAATTCCTTTACCTCGACTTCTACCACAACTCATAACGAACTTCCTCTGTATTTTCATCAATCAGCATCACCATGTCCAGGAGAGCCCCGAACCCCGCTGCTGAGCGGGCGGCGCAAAACCAAGCTACCATCAAGAGTCTTCTCAAGTTGGAGGCCAATAAGGTCTGCTCTGATTGTAAACGAAACAAGCGTATGTATTAGACCACGAGATTGCTAGCACATTCCCTCTGACCATTTCAGATCCTCGATGGGCCAGCTGGAACCTAGGTGTCTTCATCTGTATCCGATGTTCGGGCATCCATCGTGGCATGGGCACTCACATCAGCCGAGTCAAGTCCGTCGACCTCGATTCCTGGACCGACGAACAACTCCAAAGTGTTCTGAGCTGGGGAAACGCTCGCGCCAATAAATACTGGGAGGCCAAGCTTGCGCCAGGCCATGCCCCCTCTGAAGCCAAGATCGAGAACTTTATCCGAACGAAGTACGAACTCAAGCGATGGGTTATGGACGGCCCCATGCCCGATCCTGCTACTCTAGATGCTGATGGCGACGACGATGTACCCCTGAGCATTGTTAAGGAGAAGCAAGTCATAGAGCGCAAGGAGTCCATCAGGAAGGCATCCCTAGGCAACTCACAAGCACCGAAATCTGTCCCTGCACCTCAGGGAGATCTCATCGGCGGAGACCCTGTCCCTGTGCGATCAAGCAGCGCTGCTCCTCACGCGGCGAAGGTCGCTCCTAAGGCAGAACCCGCTCCCCCAAGGGCAACAAGCACAAAGGACTCACTACTTGGACTCGACTTCTTTGGTGAGCCCGCGGCTCCTCCTCGACCGGCCAGCACAACTGGTACCGCTCCGAGCGGTCAGTCTCGTCCCGATTTGAAACAATCTATCTTATCTCTATATGCTACTGCGCCTAAACCGCAACCTCATGCTCAGCCTCAGCAACAGTCATCTGCGGGAGGCTTCGGTGGCTTTGCCTCTCCCACTTTCAGCCACCAGTCTCAAGGCTCTGTGGGTGGCTTCAACGACGCCTTTAGTAGTCTCAGCATCTCGAATCCCCCTAAGCCCGCCGCTCCCGACCCTTTTGCCAGCCTCAGCTCCGCCAGTCGTACCACATCAAGCACCAATGCCTTTGGTGGCCTAGGAGGAGGTAGCTTCTTCAACAGCAAACCCTCCCAACCCGCTGCCCCTACCCACCAGCAGCAGTCTTCCAACTTCTCGAACTTCGGTGGCTTTTCCTCCCCACCGCCTGCTGCTCCTGCTGCTCCTGCCGCGCCCAAGCCCGCTCAATCCTCTGCCATGGGTGACCTTTTCGATCTTTCTGCACCTGTGACCACATCGCCTCCCCCACCACAGCCCGCAGCTGCTTCCACCAACTCCGTCTTCAACCTCTCTTCTCCCCAAAGCCCTCCTGCCGCCGCGCCAACCAGTACGACAACAACTGCTAACGCAGCCGGTTCTATGGGTGGTTTCTCTGGTGCTGATGTTTGGGGCGGAAGTGATTGGGGAGCCCCTGCAGCTCCCGCACCAGCTCCCGTCCAGAAAGCCCCTGAACCACCAAAGCCCGCGGCGAGCGATTTTGGTTGGGGTAACACGGGAGGAGCCTTTGCCAACACACCCATCGTCCCTGGGGCATCAGGAGGCTTCAATCCTATTGCATCGCCCAAAGTATCGGCTGATGAGGAGTTTGGAGGATGGACAAGCAGTGGACCTGCTGCCAATGGCAGTGGTCAAGCCAAGCCTAGCGGTGGCTTTGGCGGAGATGAAGACTTGTTCTCAAACGTGTGGCAGTAGGTAGTAAGTTTTGGAAACATCTAGATGGTTTTTGGGGCGGAGGTTTCTATAAAACAATTGCAGGCATGATTGGCGTTTGCATGTTAGGAGTCAAGTAGATGCGAAACAGGATGGCTTAAATTGTACGACCATTATGACATTGGTTCGGGTAAGAAGCAATGTGAGTGTATTCAAATAACGCCAGCCCAACGCTGCGAAAACAGTAAAAATCCTGAGACACAACTCCTTAGCCTTTTAGCTGTGGACACTTGGATGCCCTTGACCATCTGTGTATACCACCTAGTAAACATCCGTCTTCCCTTCACAACGGATGCCCTCTATTACGGTCGTTCCCTGTCCAGCTTATATCTGTGTCAAGGCTTTTAGAACAACAGTTTTGCCCCGTAGAATAACACCAAGAAAACGCCAATAACGATCCCCGAAAGCTTGAGAATAGCGACACGGTTGCCTGATGCAGCCATGCGAGTTAAGCGGCCAGCAGAGCCCTTCATCTGTGTGGTCATGGAGGAGAAGGTATCGGACTGTTTGACGTTAGTCGGCTGGAAGTTGTCGCTTGCGAAGGGGGGAGACAGACGGTGTTGTCGATGACATCCTGGGCTCGAGCGTTATCGTAAATGTCGACTGTCACACCTCGAAGGGCGGAGACCTTTGCGGAGAGCTCATCTAGGCGCGCGTTGTTCTGGCGCTCTCGTTCGTAGGCTTCGGACATGGTGAAGGTTGTCGGAATCTAGGGGATAGCGAAACAGGGGTTCTCGGTATGGTCTGGCTTTCGATGGGAACAGATTGTTTCGTGTGTTGTTTGTCGTCGCTTTGCAGAAGACGAGAGGTCTTCGTAGTCGTCAGATGTATCCTCGAAATGTCAAGGGCCAAGTTGTGAAAGGGGTTCGAGTTCTAACACAAAACCGATAGCCATGACGACCTCCTCGGTTGGCCCCAAAGTCCGCCACGGCCACCTCACGCGGGCGCGCTGGACGTTCAGTGGTACGTACTCTGGTGCTGACACCGCCACACTTCAACTAACAGCCACACCTCCATCCGCTGAGAAACTGGAGATTTCTCCATGCACCAAAGGAAAGCTGAATGTACTGTACCCTGGCGCCTACGGCGGGGCAACACGTTACAGACAAGGCCTAATGAGAGAAAATGGTTGGGCAGTTGCAAAAGGCTCTAAGTACAGTGGATTCGTTGTTGTTCACGTTGACGCCAGGTTACCTGAATTGCTGCGCCACAGGACATGGAAGCTCCCCGTTACGAGGTGCCGTGAATGCGCATGCCCAACGTCTGCACCTAATAGTCTAGACTTAAGACCTCTACTTTTCCTTCTTTGTAGCTTTGTCGATCCTACAAGTCCTTGTATAATATCGCCGCAGAATATTCTACACTCGTTTGCTTACGTCCACTCCTTGGCATATACCATCGAGGCGCAGCAGTAACTCGTCTGGTGACGACGCAACCCGGTCAAGCTGGGCTACTATACCTATCATATCAACCCCACTCATCGGCCTTGTACTGAGAGCTTCTTGGCTCCTCCAACAACAGTTTTCGACTTGCGCGACGACAACTTTCTATCCCTGTTCCTGTTTGTGCATTGCATCTCTTGAGCTTTGTTTGAGTGTATCAAGATGGGCATCAACAATCCCCTCCCGTCGTCAATGGCGTGTAAGTCGAGCCACCAAATTCCGCACTCATGATCGCGCATCATGGGCTACTCCACCCCTCAATGAAGCGATCAGCTCAAGTGCGAGACATGGCTAACACAACTCCCCAACAGCGGAATGTAAGAAGTGCGGCAAGATCCTGACTTCCTTTATCAACCCTCGCCAGTCTTTCGGTCCCGACAAGGTCATTCCTCCATCCATCCTCGCCAATGCTAAGGGCCTTGCCATCATCACCGTTCTCAAGGCCGGCTTCCTCGGCTCAGGCCGTTTTGGCAGCGGTCTCGTCGTCGCCCGACTTCCCGAGGGCGGTTGGAGTGCCCCGAGCGCTATTGCGACCGCCGGAGCCGGCTTCGGTGGTCAAGTTGGTTTCGAATTGACGGATTTTGTCTTTATTCTGAACGATTCGAGCGCCGTCCGGTCCTTTGCTCAAGCTGGCTCTTTGACACTAGGTGGCAATGTTTCCTTGGCAGCTGGTCCCGTTGGTCGCAATGCCGAAGCAGCCGGTGCTGCTTCGCTGAAAGGTGTCGCCGGCATCTTCAGTTACTCCAAGACCAAGGGTCTCTTTGCTGGTGTTTCCCTCGAGGGATCTGCCATCATTGAGCGCCGTGATGCTAATGAGAAGATGTACGGCCAGCGCTTCACGGCGCAGCAGCTCCTCACCGGTTCTGTGAGGCCACCTCCTCAAGCTGCCCCTCTCATGAATATCCTTAACTCGCGCGTTTTCAACGGCATGAGAGGCGGTGGTGACGACGCCATGTACAACGACATTCCTGTATACGATGATCAGCACGACGATGTTGTGTGGAACGGTCGCCGAGGATCCGCGATGGGCGAGGGCGTGCAGCGCGATCGTACAGGCTCAGGCTCATACGATGATAGCTTCGGACGACCCAGCCGGTCGAATACATGGCAGGACGATGTATACGACAGACCAGGCGGTTTTGGCGGGCCCACGCGTTCCAGCACATTTGCTTCTGGTGGCGGAGCGAACAACGACTACGTTTATCGTGACAATCCCACAGGAGGTTCGGGAGGGTTTGGCGCCGAAAAGAAGGCTGGCCCTGGACGGCCAGCGGCTCCCAAGCCCAACTTTGGTGCCAAGCAAGCAATGCTTAAGAAGAACGAGGCAGTTGCTGTGTACAACTTTGACGCGGATCAACCAGGTGATCTGGGTTTCAAGAAGGGAGATGTCATCACTGTACTAAAGCGAACCGAGAGTGATAACGACTGGTGGTATGTATTCAACACGAATGGCTCAAACATCGTCACAGTAACTGACAGCGCAATAGGACCGGACAAATTGGCACAAGAACGGGCATTTTCCCCAGCAACTATGTCAAGATGAAGGAGTAACGGCTGTTATCTTTGTATCGATTTAAATACCCTTTAGGCACGTTTCGGATGGATACCTTATGAATACGACGGCTTTTTTGTCTTTTGTCTAGGAAAATGGCGGTTTCAAAAGACTGTACAGTTTTACACATCATGCGTCCTCCACAAGCTTTTGAATCAACAAAAACCTATATATTTGTAGCATATGGATGATTTATTACCTCTGAACCTTCACTGAACAGTATATCTACTAATATGATCCAGCCAATACATGGGCAGGCGTGCTGGTTAATATCTAAGCTCTCCATGAGATCTATCAAACCGACACATCGAACGTTTCCAACTTGAGCTTTAGGCAGGCAATATGGACAAGGCCTTAAGAATAGCCGTTCTCGTTGTTGAAACGCAATAAGCCTCAGTAGGCGCACAGAACGGTTTGGCGCCATAACAGAAACCGTAGGAAGACAATTCGCTACATCAGAAAGTACTGCAGTAAAAGTGATCACGGCTCCACATAGAAGTAGAGATAGCGAAATTCTTCACGTTATGGCTGACCGTTCACACGCAATCTAGTTGTCTCTAATATGGCCAGTTGGGGATGAGCGGTACCCCTTAAAATACAGTTGAGAAGTTTGTTCATGTCAGGCTCTATCTCAATGACAAACGGCACCCCAAGGCTGGGATCATAACGAATACGTTCTCTCAACGGATGGCTTTGTCACCTGAGGCAGAGTTCTAGTCCTTATCATGTCCAAGCAATGGTTTCGTCGCCGAGGGCATCAAACCCTGAGCCTTTGCCGGGCATATGCAACAGAGTTCACACAAGAACTTAAAAAAAGAAATATTGGGAGATTTCAAACGCCATTTATTAATCAAGTTTTTTGTAAATGCGCATAGAGACTAACTTTGCGATCTCAATCCGTAATACCAGTAGCAGGTAGCTCCTCAGACCTGACCTTTGTGAACTATGATTGCCTTTGAACGTGAGAGTGTATTAATAGAAAGCTCCAATAAGAAACACCATTTTCAATAACTCAAGGGCATTTACAAATAATACAGCCTTGGAATGCCCCAACTGTGGCACAGGACTACCCAGATACTGAACTAGGTGCATGTCCCAGGATGCTTGCGAATGAGGTGCCAGGCTACCTCTTGGGGTGAATTTGTGACCTGAATGATGTAGAAAGCTCTCGCAAGCTCCCCATTGCCGTTCTCGATCTCGTGTATTCGCTGGTTGATAACATCGCGTATGTGTTTGTGGAACCTGGTCCAGAGCTTGAGTCTGCTTTGACCTCGGTGCTTGCCCATATTGCGAGAAAGACGGCTGACAATCATGATGTTGCTACCCCTCTGCTCGGCCCATTCCAGCGTGTGTTGTGCACCGTGCTGCTGGCTGATGTTTCGATAGAGACGAAAATCTTTGTTGATGGCCTCCTGAGTATTGCTGAGACGGATATCGTTGAAGAGGTTCCTCGGGCCCTGCTTTTGACAAAACCAGCCAGAACGACTAGCAAGACGCTTGCTGATGCCTGTAATTATATAGTTAGAATACATACCCGTACTCTGGTAAGACGTGTGAAGTTATAGCTTACATTGGGTGGACTCGCGTATCTGTTTCGCCCGGATGTCACGAACTTTCTCGATACCAATGTCGGGGAACATATCCAACAGCCGTTCCATATCGGGACTGTGGGACATCTCTCGGTCGTTGGGACTGGGGGCCGGGCTCGGAAAGGTTGTAAGGAAATTTGGGTCTTCAATGCTTGGTAGGACTGTAGACATCGTGGCAGCTAGGATGAATGCAATACAGAAAGAAATGCAGCTCAACTCTAACCAATGGGAATGCGTAAAGTTTTCGCAAGAATACTGAGCCCCTTGAATAAGCTCGGTATTAAGGGGCGTCTTGATTCCGTGATAAGTTCGATGGACAAAGGACGTAAAGGGGCTCGGTCAGTTGTTGAATGGGGGAGACGGGAGAGTCTGAGGTAGGCGTGGTAGGTACAATTCATATATTAGGAACAGTGAGTCAGCCTCAGCAATACGTTAATTGCCTACAAGCACTTCAATTCCCGTAATAAAGTCAAATGTCCGAGTTTCCTTCCTTTAACCTCTAACTATCCCTTCATATGGCAGGTAACTCGCCAATCAGTCGTCACTCCCCGCCGACCATGACTTGAAGCTTTTTATACCAGAAGTCTCTACGTCTTGCCCATAATTGCTTTGAATAGAACTGTGCAAGCAAAGCTGCGTCACCGCCCCTGGCTATATCCTGTTCGAACTGTTCAAACAACGGGGCTGTTGCTTGATTCAAATCCTTCAACGTGTTGTTGTCAGTAAGCATAACCCATGGTAAGACCTCCACGCCCGAGGTTTCTTGTCTTGAATATGAGGACCTCTGCGAGCTAGTTGAAGCTTTCGGGCTTTTTGGGAGGGTTGTCTGACATTCGGCATCCTTGTACATATCATCTTTTGCTTTCACACTCGCAAACATACCTACCGATTTAGAACCTGGAGGATGGTCTTCAAAACTGTTAGTTGCACTAGAATAATTATCAGTGTTTTCCGACGCAAGAACTCTGTGACTCGTCTGATTTAATCTCTTATTTGTCGTGTTGTACGTGGCTTTGGTGCTTTGGCTTTTCCCTGAATTGGTTGAATCTGTCCTTAAAGATTGGCTAGAAGATCCCCAGGGTTTTCTAGAGTCGGAGGATTTCTCAAGCCCTGATCGCATACCTACATGCGCCTCGGGCTTCTTGTATGGCGCGGCGGTCTTTGCGCGTGAATCAAATGGCAACTGTCTGGGCCGAGGCATCAGTTTGCGAAAGTCCTGGTCGTGCAGCGGCTGTCCACGGTACGGTTCGGGCGAAAGGTCTTTTTTCAAGCCTGCGTGCGTATTACAGCTCTTGGTAGCAACGTCCGGGTGACATTCAAAAGAGCCGACTTTAGAACTTTCACGAACTGAGAGACTCTGAGCATCGGAGCCTGTGGTGGACACATTCAGAGGCATCACCATGTCGGCCCCACCGATGGGTGACTGTGTCGGAGGCGGACTCGAGTTAAAGGAGTACCTCAGAGGTGACCCAACGCGAGGTATATGTGAGCGTGTGCCGTCTCTTTCAAAGAACATGTGGTATGGGTTGAGCTGTGCCGTCACTGGACTAGTATGCCGCATTTGAGTCCCTGCAAAATAGCTTTGCATAGGCATTGACTGCGCTCTTTGTGTCTGTTCAATGTGCGAGGTCGGGACAGTCGAAAATGGCGAAGGGTGAAAAGGAGCGTTCAACATTGTGGTGAACGAGAAGTCAGGTGGAGCACCAGTTCCTTGGAAATCATTCGGAGGCAATAGAGTCGGCGGCGTGATTGAAGAGAGTCGTGGCCTTATGTCAAACATGACATCGTGTGTTTGAGATACAGGCTGAGGAGGAACTGTTAGAAGAGATGCTGGTATTGCCTCGCTGGCGAAGAACCCAGCCCTCTGCAGCAAGCATACAGCAACACTGAAATCTCTCTTTTCCTCGAACTGCGCGAGGAGCGCTTGAGGCTTCTTGGGTACAGATACACAGATTCGATTAGTTTGCTTGTTGATGCTGATGATGTCTGCAGAGGACGGTGATCCTCCTTTTATTTCGCTGAGGCAAAGGGAAACCTGGCCTATTAGCCTCCCACTCGAGCCCATTACCACCAGTCCGTACCACTTGTTGTTTCCCTTTATGAATCAAAAGAACCAAGATTCCCATCTCTGATCCGATCGGCCTTTCACCTTCGATTGTCAAAGTGAAAGCATTGTGTGGGTGGGAAGAGTTGTAAGCTTTGGCGGACGCTCCATCGCGGATCTCTAAGTAAACGAGTGGGCACCCGGACACAGGAGTCGGGGGACCAGCCATGATAGAACTTAAAAATGGAAGACTGCATAGGTACTCCGCAGAGTAAATGAGAAAAAGGTTTGATCGGATTTGGGTTGGAATTCACAGAGATAAAGTCATGCGCGCGCCTTGTGCCATGCAATTGGTCTTCAACTTGAGGACTCGGCTTCTCCTTCCGAAGCACTTGATAAATATCTAGGAGGCAAGTAGGTACTACCTGCCCCGACACGCCTGCCCATCCTTCTTGCCAACCATTTAAGTAAAAATCGATAAATCCGCATCAAGGATCTGACGAACTCAACTTTGGGCAGGAGAAATTGGGGTTGAAGGGATAATTGATTATCTAGGTAGCTACCGAGGAAGAGAACTTCCCAAATTCCATTGTGACCAAGGGTCACGTGGAGATAAGCTAGCGCAATCTTACCCCCAAGACTTCGACGCGCCGCGCCAAACCAAACTATCAGCGACTGACCCATGCGATTTGAGAATCGTGGATCAAGCTGCAAACACCCACGGTATCTCTAAAACCAGCCAATTATCGATATAGAGGTCATTGAGGCCTTTCAGACGCTGGGTGGAAGCGCCTATCCGTGGGTATCTTTCGTGACTGCACGACATTTAACACAGCTCGACGACAAGAGACCTTTCCCCCTTCTTCGCGACTGCGCATTTCGTATTCTGTTTTCATCCACCCGCGCACAATCAGTTCACCGCACGATCTCTTAATATGGCGCCCGTTCGCAATGAGGTGCCGCCGCACACGATAGATCGCACGCCCGAATACGAGGACTTTATGTCGCGACTCCGTGACTATCATGCCAAGCGAGGAACGACACTTGACCCAGAGCCCAAGGTCGGCGCAACGCATGTTGACTTGTTCAAGGTCTTCAATCACGTCGTGGAAAGTGGTGGTTATGACAAGATCTCGGAGGAGAAGCTTGCATGGCGACGTATGGCGTCAGAGCTGGGCATATATTCTAACAATGAAGCCTCCACTGCCTTCTCGTTGAAGGAGAAGTTCTACAAGAACTTGGCTGCGTTTGAGATCAGCACAGTACATGGAAAGGAACCTCCACCAAAGGATATTCTGGAGGACGTGACGGCTAAAGGCGCTGGCTTGTTGTCACGCACAAGGGAAAATTTCTGGGGGAAGAAAAGAGAGAGTAACGTTGGTGCCACAGACTCAGCGGCCTCGGGAGACGATGGTACACCCGTCCGCGAGCGACCTGTGCCAGACACTGCTGCCAGTGCGCGTGCATCCAGAGGACTGCGTGAGGCACCTCCTCAGCGTGTCATCTTTCAACCGGATACTGGACCTTCACGAACAACCCGACATTCTTCTGCTCACCATGCGAGCAGTACCAACTCACCAGCCGCCAACCCTCCTCAGACCCCCTCGCATCACCCAAACATGCACATACCTCAGCAGCACCAACAACAGAATTACCAGGGAAATCGAGGTCCCTCGGTTCTTCACCATCCCACTAACTCTGAGAATACATCCAACTTGGTCACTGCCTATCAGCCGCGATTTTCTAAACCTCTAACACTACGCGCAGTGCCAACCCCGAGCAATGCGCCCACCGAGTTTCAGAAGCCACGCCAAACTCCGCGCATTGACCCTCGTCAACCGATGCAACCCGGCAGTGAGTATTCATTCGTATTTTGTGCTTTTCTTCCACTGACTCTATTAGCCGGTTTCGATGGCCCTAACATTTACATGAGGTGTTTGAACGCTTTGCGATCAAATATTCCTGCTGAACAAGCCTTTGCGCTCAGTCATCTGGTGAAAATATCGTTTGAGCGAGGTGATAAGTACAAGTTCGATTCATTCCCAGGTCTGGCCGAAGGTCTAGTTGACAAAGCCCTTGAAGTAGGACATCTGTTCTACCACGTTAACTGGAGTATATCTTGGAACCTTCCATATGACTCTAGTGACCCGAGCGCCCTCGATGGAAATTATGGGACAAAAGATATCTTGGAGCGTATCGAAAACCTGATCGAGAAGGATGTACCCGACATTCTGCAAACTGAGTCATACGCGGACAATATGGTGCTGATCACTGAAGCTGTCCTGACGTTGCGGAACATGGTCACCTTGCCGGAAAATGCTCACAACATATCAGACTTCCCTCCCGTCAAGGATCTCATTTGTATCATTCTGAACCTACCGCAGAAGGATTCTCTTGTGGAACTGAAACATCTTGCCCTGGACATTGCCGAGCAGTTGACGCCGTTCATGACATTGGAGTCAGACGACCCTATGTATAGGACATTGTTGGAGCAGTTGACGTCTGATGACCGTGGTATCATTCTGACGTCTCTTCGGGCGCTCGGCCGCATCTCCATGAATCTCGAGGCTACCAACAAGCTAAGCAATGTTCCTGGGCTAGTGCTCCAGCGCCTTTCCAGTTGGCTTTTGCTCAACGATGATGAGCTTATCGACGCGTGTCTCGATTTCCTCTATCAGTACACTGCTGTTGTGCCCAACGTGGACACCTTGGTCCGGTCTTTGACGCCAGAAAACCTCATTGACCATCTTGCACGCCTCCTAGCTCATGGTGCTCGTAAGACACAACGCGAGTTTGTTCTTGTACCCGAGCAAAGAATTCCCGCTCGTGACCAGATTGCTCCTATGCCTGAAGATCTTCTTCAGGAGATGCTCAAGCTTGAAGAGCCAGATCGTGTTCACCGTTGGGTTCGCTGCTTCTTCGAGGAGGACAATAACTCTTTTGTGACACAACTGGCCGCCTGGCAGGCCTACCAAAACGCATTTGTCGCACCACTTAAGGTTATCAATCAGCCTCTTATCACGCCTGCCGACTTCATCCGGAACAGTACGTCTGTATATAAGGATTCAAACGCGCAGGTTCTTAGAGAGCCTGGCGATCCGCAACAAAAGTTCATCATCCACGGTATCCGTGCAAGACCAAAACCTCTTGGCTTGGATGGCAAGGAGTACGGGCGATGCCTTTGGGCCTCAAATCCTAACAATAAGCTTGAGAAATGTGGTCACTTTTACATTCAGCCTGAAAAGCTTTGGGAGCACATCCTCGTGGACCATCTAGGAGAGAAGCGAAATGAAGGGGGGCAATTCGACAACGTCGAGAAGGAATACATTTGTACCTGGGATCAGTGCTCCCGCTATCCGAAGTCCACCAAAATGCGCCTTCAGGATTTCGCGAGACACATCAACACGCACATCTCTTCAGCATTGCCCAACGACGCGCTTAGTCGAAAGCCCGAGCGTTCATGGATTATTCCTGCCAAGACTATGGCTGTGACCTTCGAGGAAACTGCAACAGCACGGGACGAGCGAAACCCAAACCTCCCGCCCCAGGCAGCTGGTATTCCACTCAGCGCTGCGTTAGTGCTAAGGAACATTGCTCGCAATGTGGTCAAAACGGAGGCTGAGGAAGAGATGGTCAAGAAACAGGAGAAAGTGGGTGAAATAGGAGGCTGGAACGAGGTTCTTTTCCGCCCCCTGTTACCGCGACTGTTTGAGATCCTTGCAGAGAACAGGGCCTTGGTATGTCTATCAATCCTATCAGCGTTTGCCATGAAGTAGTTGTACTAATCAACTTCGCAGAGCCCTTACATTGCATCACTCCTTGATCTGGTCCATATTGAGAATTACGATCAGGGCCGCTGATGCAGTTTCGCAGGATGGCGTAATGGAAAAAGACGGGGCGTTGTCACGACATGCTTTCAAGCAACCTCGTGTTGAGGAGGCATTGTTCGCAGTGATTTACACAGGCTTCCTCGCATGAGTGAAACCTGGTGGGGATCAGAATGGCATGTGTTGTTTTACACGGATTACTTGTATTAATACCCTGCCCGTGGGCGTTCTGGGCTGGCTGGTTTTGGATGAGCGGTAGATCTTTGAACTCGAAGACTAAGAACATCAACAGTATGCATTCTGCAGAATTGTATAGCATCTTTGTCGATTTGTGTGTTTGCCGCGTGAACCTGTTGGGATGAATCAAGTGCGGTTACGTGTAAGTGCTGTATAGGTGATACTGGCGAGTATGCTTTTATGGCATGATACCTTCAGTAAAGACGGTACCGAAGTATCTGACGATATAATTCAACAACCCTCAAGTCCACTGGAGATTCAACTACCGGCCCGGGCATCTGGTTGGTTTCCCATCACCGCATTTTTAAACCCGGGCCGGTGCCTCTCCTGTGCATACATCTCGACGCCAGATCTCAGTACTCGGCTTTATCATCAGCCGCAAAACTGCTCATACGAAACATACGGGAACCGCCGTTATGCGCATGTGGGGAAAGGGAGCAAGGGAAATGCATTGTATCCTCGCCAGCTTGGTAAAGTTCGACATGGGAAATCCAGTCCAGTCCACACAATACCCCAGACTTGGGCACGCCTGTGATGGATGATGAGAAGGAATGGAAGGGCCGTGCTTCTGCGAGGATTCTGGAACTCGCCCGAATGCATGCATGCGCACCAGGTGCCCCCTTGTCCCCTTGACAGCTCCCCACCACACGATAGCTCCAAGAGCAGGGCTGCAAGGCAAGGCAAGGTATTGCGTGCCTGGCTGTGAGATGGGCCTCAACATGTCAGTGAACCTCGTACAATTCGATCACTTGGTTTGACAGGAGGCACCTTGATTTCGATAGTGCTTGTACTACGTAGTATGTCATATCGTGAGCTTATTGCCAGACTGTTTACACAAAGAAAGTCACTTGACATCGTAGATCCAAGTGGTGTACAGTATTCGACCAACGCTGTTCACAAGCTCAAGATGTCAAGGCCTTGTTGAGAGTGTGCCTCGATTCTCTTACCCTTGATGAGCTCGCTTGTGCTTGTCCCAGAAAATTGCCCCCATCAGATATTGATCAGATCAGTTGTAAACGAAGAAGATCATGTGGGTCACCCAAGGAGCTCCAAGTCCGCTCTGCCTCACGCAAGAATATCTGTCCTACAGAATTAGCGATGCAGCCTATTAGGGGAAAAGTCGAGTATCGTCTGATATCTTGTTTTTTTTTTTTTTTTTTTTTTTTTTTTTTTTTCTTCGTCGTCTTAACTGGTACGTGCATAGTCAGTCGATGAAACGACTTAGCATAAATATAAAGAGTTTGATGTATACACCGTCTTTTGGTGTTTACCCCGTCAAAGTCATCATGATGGAAATTTGGCTTCGATTAAGTCACAAATGATGATCGCCAT